GCACTCTGTAACTAATACCGCTGTACCGTGGGCTCAACTGTAATAACAGCTATTAATGTCAATCACTAGTCTTGTAATCAAAATTATTACACGACTCGGGTAGTCAGTATTGGACCGTGCACTTTCCCGAATGGTGCCGAATGATGCCGCACTTGTGTCCCTTTGAACTTCAGTCGTATAATAAATCTCTTATTAACCAAGCTTGCTCGGGACCGTACTGGAAGAATATCGGCCCTCGGTATTTTTTGTGCAATATTGGCCTTGAGACAGCAATGAGAGAGATTCTTTTTATCTCCCAGCAAATAAGTCAAGATTCAAAGGCATGTTGCTGTTGGAATTTTTCACATTTAAGATATTTGCTCTCTCTTTCTCCTATCAAAAATGTTCTTTAACCCATTCACTCCCAAGATCTCATTAGTAATTCCCCTTACTGTCTGCTATCATACAATTCTTATGATGTTGTTTTAGAATGTTGTTCGAGCCTTACATTCGATGTCTTTGAGGGTGAAAAACTTGCATGTGAACTGTCGCCCCTCCAACCCTCCAGAATAGAATCGGGAAGGGGCCCGATTTTCTTTTGGAGGGTAATGGGCGGCTGTACACAGGCTTGTAAAAAAATCATCTTATGCAGCACTTTGAACAGACAAGCTGCACGAAGGTAGGTGTTTTGGGCAGCCTAGGTGAACGGACGTTCCTTCAAATAAGATTCAAAATATTTTATTTAATTCATCGATGCAGTAGATACGATCGTCTTTGTCTCTTTTTGTTCAAAATTGACACCATTTTCCGCTTGTCGAAGTTATCACCAACTAGACACCTTCTTGGCTATCCTTCCTGAGAGAGTTTTGATCATTTCTTTTTGAATAAGTAAACTTTACTTTAATTAATATACTAATATATCTGTACTAATACTATATTGGTTCTTCTACTTCAAACAAGCATATCCGCTAATTAATTTTTTCTCTAATGACAGCTCAATTGTTTTTTTGTCAGATAGATCAAGAAATTTAATTTTTTGGTAATTAAAAAACCCTTTTAGAGTGCTTGTTGATTCAGTATTCTCCAGTTATTACACATGATGTTGCATACTACATTTTAAAAAAAGCGAAATTTCTTTTGGTCTTGTTGCGAGCTTGGGACATACTATGAGCTAAGCTATGTCATGTAATGGGGCACATTGCGTCTAGAATATGTCACATTGATCAAGGCTTACGTCGACACTGTATTAAACCGCAGATTATCATGCAAAGGGGAAAACATGGCTATCATGGTCAACCTGGCTTTGGGGGTTGTATGTTGTAGTCGTGAATATAAAACAACAGATAAACCAAATAAGTTTCTTTCCAGATTTATTTCCACGTTTTGTTATGACCTCTACTTGTATGATAGAGACAGCGCTAATTCAATGAGCCTAACTCTAGCTACTCCCGATTACAATACAACATCAACTGCCTTTATGGTGAACCAAGACCTATGCACTTGGGTGAAAAGGGTATTGCTTATTTAAGCAACTGGGGGCTCAAATTCCTCAATGATGATTCTACTGACTGAATTCCAGCCAGTGTAGGCGTTGAAAATGCCAAAGCCACGGCACTGACCGACGTGCAAGCCAACACGCACCAAGCCTTTGCCAACTCCAGCGCAATAGCCTTCTATGTTGGCCGAGCGATGGAAGTTAACGTTGATATTCTGGTAAAGAACGGCGTCAATGGCAGCGGGTGCTCTGCACTCGATGTCGTTGAAGGTGAAAAACCATCTCATGCAACAGTTTGTGCAACCGGTGACGCGAATGTTTCCCATGTAGACTACACGGAGGTATGTGTTTGGGGAAGCCTTGGTAAACGGACATTCCTGAAAAGAAGATTCCAAAAATCAATTTTATGATATGCATTGGTGCAGCTAAAAGGATTACTTTTCGTCTCTTCCCTTTCAATCTTGTCAATGGCGACCGTTATTCCCCTCCCCTTTTCTCAACAATTTGCCTCCATGGCGTACATACCAGAACTCGTCCATTATCAGTCTCAGAGTTGATGTGGTTCCAAAAACATTGTTTCCATCTCCTTTGAGTCCCAGCGTCTCCTTTGACTCCTGGTGGCCCTGGCGGTCCCACTTCCCCTTTAGGTCCAGGTGCCCCATCCCGTCCCGGTAGTCCATCCCGTCCCGGTGCTCCATCTCGTCCCGGTAATCCATCTCGACCCGCTGGGCCTTGAGTTGAACAGAATTTCTTCAGTAATTCCTATTGAGAGAAAATTCGATTAGCTATTTTATGTTGCTTATTATAACTGCATTATTTCATGCCATTTGATGAAGAAATCCTAGAGGTGGTGCCTTGGTGACTTGTGATCAACGATGACTTCTTCAAGAGGCGAATGNGCAAGAGGCCTACTTTACTACCCCCAGAAAATTGTGGTCATGTCGGGATATTGTGTAGACAACCAGGTAGCCTGCTTTAGTTTGAAGTTTTCCGACTCAGTCTTGGACGAACTATTACTCGTCGTCAAATAGTTGTTTGACTCAGTGACATGACGCTTCGAGATAGCGTAGTATCTAGTTTTAGGGTAAATAAGATAGCCAAATGAAATAGAATAAAATTGAGTTATTTTAAAAGTGATCCATAAAGAAGATGCAACTATTTACACAAACTCGTATTTTTATTCCTTAACTAGACAGGAAAGGAGATGCCTCGCGAAAAAAAAAAAACGTAATTTTTTAAGTGAGTGAGCATTTCCCTGACCGTCATTTCGCTGGGAACCTGTGCCAAAGTCGACGTTCAGGAGGCCGCACTATTAGCGCGATGGTCCAACCACAAAGGAGTTATTAAAAAGCGTTGATCTTAGTAAAAAAGATGTTTAAATATACTCAAGAATAATGGGCCAGTTATTAACCGAGGTCTAATCCAAACGGTGATTTTACACAAGAAGTGGGCCGTAGAGATTCTCTATGAGAGGGTTGACTTTTTTGAATAAATGTCCTTCCACCATTAGCTTACGTCCCTTTTACCACCGTTCACAAAAATAAATGTTCAAATTAAAGGTTCGGCTAAATTGAAGATGACCTTGAGCGCGGTTTTGTTAAGAAACGGCTAAACTTTGTCTAAATAACAAGCCCATCATGTTTTATGTTAGAGACAATTATTTACCAAAACAAAGTCTAAAATGATGACCACTAGGCATAGAAAAAAAGGCGCTGTCGCCAAGTTTAAACGGAACTACATCTTCATATTACGTTTAACGTGACACGGTCTGTTAAGGGGGATTTTTTTTTTTTCGAACTGATGAGTTGCACAGATATTTTCGACCCGACATGTAAAAAAAAAATGAGAATTGATATGATCCAAAAGCATTTGATGTTTTCCTGCGCTATACTAACTGCCAACACAAGAGTTTCTCGATGCAATGCGATCAAACCTGGAGTGCACTATATGATTAGTTACTCGGAACTGGTCAGCTCAGACGACGACCACAAACCGTATATAGAAGAAATAAATTTGTAATTCGAAATCAGAAAATAAAGTCTTAATCTAGTAGCAAATTTCAAAAAACGTGATTGGAAACTTACTTCTGGGGCAGGTCGTAAAAAATAGGTTTATCTCCTCAGGTTAGCAGATTCAGGTAAGCGAACAGACTATAAAAAACGAATTCTCCCTCTTATTGATTCTTGTGAAAAACTGGTTTAAAACATGACAAGCTAATACTTTTAATTGCTAGTCTTGTAATCAAATTTATTACACGACTCGGGCAGTCAGTATTGGACCGGGCACTTTCCCGAATGGTCCCGAATGATGCCGCACTTGTGTCCCTTTGAACTTCAGTCGTATAATAAATCTCTTATTAACCAAGCTTGCTCGGGACCGTACTGGAAGAATATCGGCCCTCGGTATTTTTTGTGCAATATTGGCCTTGAGACAGCAATGAGAGAGATTCTTTTTATCTCCCAGCAAATAAGTCAAGATTCAAAGGCATGTTGCTGTTGGAATTTTTCACATTTAAGATATTTGCTCTCTCTTTCTCCTATCAAAAATGTTCTTTAACCCATTCACTCCCAAGATCTCATTAGTAATTCCCCTTACTGTCTGCTATCATACAATTCTTATGATGTTGTTTTAGAATGTTGTTCGAGCCTTACATTCGATGTCTTTGAGGGTGAAAAACTTGCATGTGAACTGTCGCCCCTCCAACCCTCCAGAATAGAATCGGGAAGGGGCCCGATTTTCTTTTGGAGGGTAATGGGCGGCTGTACACAGGCTTGTAAAAAAATCATCTTATGCAGCACTTTGAACAGACAAGCTGCACGAAGGTAGGTGTTTTGGGCAGCCTAGGTGAACGGACGTTCCTTCAAATAAGATTCAAAATATTTTATTAAATTCATCGATGCAGTAGATACGATCGTCTTTGTCTCTTTTTGTTCAAAATTGACACCATTTTCCGCTTGTCGAAGTTATCACCAACTAGACACCTTCTTGGCTATCCTTCCTGAGAGAGTTTTGATCATTTCTTTTTGAATAAGTAAACTTTACTTTAATTAATATACTAATATATCTGTACTAATACTATATTGGTTCTTCTACTTCAAACAAGCATATCCGCTAATTAATTTTTTCTCTAATGACAGCTCAATTGTTTTTTTGTCAGATAGATCAAGAAATTTAATTTTTTGGTAATTAAAAAACCCTTTTAGAGTGCTTGTTGATTCAGTATTCTCCAGTTATTACACATGATGTTGCATACTACATTTTAAAAAAAGCGAAATTTCTTTTGGTCTTGTTGCGAGCTTGGGACATACTATGAGCTAAGCTATGTCATGTAATGGGGCACATTGCGTCTAGAATATGTCACATTGATCAAGGCTTACGTCGACACTGTATTAAACCGCAGATTATCATGCAAAGGGGAAAACATGGCTATCATGGTCAACCTGGCTTTGAGGGTTGTATGTTGTAGTCGTGAATATCAAACAACAGATAAACCATATAAGTTTCTTTGCAGATTTATTTTCACGTTTTGTTATGACCTCTAGTTGTATGATGGAGACAGCGCTAATTCAATGAGCCTAACTCTAGCTACTCCCGATTACAATACAACATCAACTGCCTTTATGGTGAACCAAGACCTATGCACTTGGGTGAAAAGGGTATTGCTTATTTAAGCAACTGGGGGCTCAAATTCCTCAATGATGATTCTACTGACTGAATTCCAGCCAGTGTAGGCGTTGAAAATGCCAAAGCCACGGCACTGACCGACGTGCAAGCCAACACGAACCAAGCCTTTGCCAACTCCAGCGCAATAGCCTTCTATGTTGGCCGAGCGATGGAAGTTAACGTTGATATTCTGGTAAAGAACGGCGTCAATGGCAGCGGGTGCTCTGCACTCGCTGTCGTTGAAGGTAAAAAACCATCTCATGCAACAGTTTGTGCAACCGGTGACGCGAATGTTTCCCATGTAGACTACACGGAGGTATGTGTTTGGGGAAGCCTTGGTAAACGGACATTCCTGAAAAGAAGATTCCAAAAATCAATTTTATCAGATGCATTGGTGCAGCTAAAAGGATTACTTTTCGTCTCTTCCCTTTCAATCTTGTCAATGGCGACCGTTATTCCCCTCCCCTTTACTCAACAATTTGCCTCCATGGCATGCATACCAGAACTCGTCCATTATCAGTGTCAGAGTTGATGTGGTTCCAAAAACACTGTTTCCATCTCCTTTGAGTCCCAGCGTCTCCTTTGACTCCTGATGGCCCTGGCGGTCCCACTTCCCCTTTAGGTCCAGGTGCCCCATCCCGTCCCGGTAGTCCATCCCGTCCCGGTGCTCCATCTCGTCCCGGTAATCCATCTCGACCCGCTGGGCCTTGAGTTGAACAGAATTTCTTCAGTAATTCCTATTGAGAGAAAATTCGATTAGCTATTTTATGTTGCTTATTATAACTGCATTATTTCATGCCGTTTGATGAAGAAATCCTAGAGGTGGTGCCTTGGTGACTTGTGATCAACGATGACTTCTTCAAGAGGCGAATGACTTTGTAATTTTGTAGCAACATATGAAGCTTAATGTTTTTTTATTTTTTTTAACTCGGTAATCATTAACAGACATGCGAGTCCTCGTAGGTAAACTTCTATTCAAGAAATTGCATACAGTGTTAAAATCATTGATATCTACATCCCATCCTTATCCGTACTCGAATACCCAAAATCCTCTCTGACTCAGGATCGGAGTGTGCTACGAAAAATGAGGAACCCAACATGTCTGCTGGGTGACTTACAATTTTATGTCCATTATCTGCGCCGATCACAACCTGAAAGAACAGGAGATAAGTCAGGGCAAACATCTGCTGAAGATTTTTTCGATCCATCCTTCCTGAGAGGGCGTTCAAAATGGTGCGCTTCTTAGTGTCATTTGACCAATATACCAAGTTTTGTTTACAATTAATTGATACATACGAGCAACAACTTTTTATTAGTCCCACTTTGAACAAACACATGCGCTTATTAATTAAGGGGAAAGTTTCTAAAGAAACTGTGGTGCTGCGTCGGTGGAGGAGTATAATAGGATATTTGGTTTATCGGCCGAGTTGTTAATGTTTTGGCCAGTATAAAAAGTTTCTTAATCTGACGTTGTTGATTACTAAAAAGAAAACCAATTATGAGTTGTGGAGCATGCAATTAAATATTTGCTATTAACTTAATCGATTAATTTTTCTACAGATCACTGACTACATTCTCAGCTTAACGGCCAAAGGGACGAAACACCTCTCCGAGGCGTGATTTAGCAACAATAGATGGATTCTTTCCTTCACAAAAGTGTGTTACCAATCTCTTAGTTTTACTCAACTTCTCTGGCTCCAGAACTAGGAAATTCTCATTATCATTTGATTTAATATTTGCCACTAAGTTTATTAGTAAATATATAGGTTATAACGGGCTACTTTTGCAAGTTTGTAGCTTAGCGGTTTTGGTAGGTGCATCGATTGCTTGCTTGTGGCGCACTATACACCGATTTCAATAAAATGGCTGCCGCTCAGCCAAAGAATGGGGCAAGAACTGAAACAAGGCATTTTAGGACTCGGCGGGTCTTACAGATATGGCTTCGCGGTCAAACATACACTGTTGCGTTCCTCATTTATTGTACTCAAAAAAGAACTACTGGGCCCAGCAGAGAAAAAGTTGGTTTCTTTAGCTTTCCAAAAGAAGCGTCACTTAAAAAGGTCTGGCTCGCTAAAATCAGAAAGAGATCCTGGCAAAAATTTTAACTGGAACGACAACACGAAAGTATGTTCACTCTATTTCGAATTGTGCGAAAACCAAAAAGGATTTGGTGGGAAAATGTCTTTAAAAAGACGTAATGAAATCTCTCCTACGAAGTTTAACTGGCCGCGTACTTAACCAAGAAAGCGACCACCTTCTTCTCTGAGGACGGATCCAGCAGTAAATGAGCGATGAGCGTCTGAAAAGAAATCTGGACACCGACTCAACAACAACAAATAGCGCTATCGAGGAGAGCCTTTCCGCTGATGCTGTTGAGGACGTTGAGTTTAAAAGTGCTACGACAATAGAATCCTACACTGGCTAAAGGGACGCTAAACGAGGCTTTTATATGCGCGTGGGGACGCTAAAATATCTGATTACAAACCAATCGAGAATAGACAACAACGTAACCACATCCGTAACTAAAGTAATTGGTAACAAACAAATCAAATTCCACTTAGACTGAATGAATCGTTTGAGTATCCTTAACAGTGTGTGAACATCAGTCCCCGACCGCCATTGCGACGGAACCTTTTTTCCTGTCAGAGATGAGACTCTTTTGACGTGTTGAAAATCCTTGCTTTCCCTTTTTTATTTATTTGTTTTTGTTTATTTTTTTTCCTTTCAGGATTTTGATGACATTATATGAAAACGAAGAGGGCTTGAGCAGCTCATGTACTCTTGGTAAAACCAAATACCCATTCAATTCTCCATCGTTAAACTGTACCTCCCCTCCCCCCTTTTATTTGCCACCAACATTTGCCACTAGTGTAACGCCACATATCTGGTCATGGCGTCCTGGATAGCGAAGCCATGGATCGAGAAAGCTTTGATGAGCACAGATTCGAACAATTTACCCAAAATTGCCAGGGCGCAAGTCATCAAGGTACTTATTGCAATCCTTTTCTCTAAATGCTCTTTATTTTAAGCATCTGTGCAGTTTATAGGGGTTGAAACTGCAAGTGTAAATATGGCGCCAAATCGCGTTACATATTTATAAAATTTGCCCAAAGACATTGTAAGAAGGTTTTCCATGCCTTTAGAAAACATTCTAGGCTAATTTTTTAAATATTTTATTCTTTGTACAGATCGAGTTGGTTTCTATACGAGAATTTTACAATATTAATGCATTTTGATCAAACTGTTTCCTCTTAGAAGTGATCGATCAATAATTTCTCCTTATATAAACAATCACAGCCAAGGAGACGAGTAATGAAAATAACGAAAAAAATATCAAATATGAAAAGGGGAAATAATTTAACATCAAATTATCAGAACTAAGATGATAGGAATTGTAAGGCAAACATACTGAGATGTTGGTTGCAAAAGGGTTAATATTTCATGCATATTTGTGTTCTTTGATTTGTTTTTCGGTTGCTGATGTTTGCAATGATCCCTTTAAACAAAAAATCCTATCAGAACTGACCCTTTCAAAATGTTCTATGAATGAATGAATGTGAGGGCTTCAGAAATATAAGATTGGTAGGGGTGTTTGGAGAAAGGGGTACAGAGGGGGCAGGGGTTGGAGAAGGCAGCAACCCCTCTTTTTCTCCAGTAAAAAATGATCAGTTAGGTTGAAAATAAACCTGACATGTCTTAATTGCTAATTAAAGAGCTGCTCCTGTTGGAGCAGTCTTAATGAAAACCCTCTGTATCACCCTAAGGACAAATGATAGTAACTGTATTTGAGTTATGATTTTAGCTTGAAGAAACTTGCAAAAGTGTGGCATTTATCAGCGACAAGAAACTTTTTGTGAAAGCTTTGTTCTCAACACCAGCTATTGAGCAATTTCAAAGGTGAGCATGAGAGATTCAAGGCTGTGCTGTCAGGAAAATTGAAAGGAACCCAGTGCTCTGAAACTGTGAACTCCAAGGTTCTCAGCATATGCTTTTTATGAAAACACTAAAATTCCTGAGTTGCCCAAGAGCAGAAGTAAGATGCCAGGGGCCACTGGGTGCTGCTAGACACAGCTTTACGTGATGTTTGTTCGGATTTGTAGAACTCCCATGGGTGGTGAGGGGATGAATCTTGAGAATACTTCTCTGAAAAAAGGTACCCTTCCCAGTCTAAACACTTTTAATTACTAGAGGAAAGATTTCATTCCACAAAGGATAGAGAAAGAGATCTGTGAACACAATAATAAGGCAGAGATATAGATGTCATTCTAGATCTTGCAGTAAGTGCATTCTACTAGAGGGAAGCCCCTGGTTAAATGTCTTTGCAATTTCATGTTGTCATCTTTTCCCTCTTTCCTTTCATGCTCATCTTTTGTGCACATCTTTTCCAAAAATTATGCAGTGACATATTCTGTAGATATGATGATACTGATGACTATGTATTAATAACACTACTGCCTGAATAAATGATATGACCTTCCCTTCATTTACAGTTTTTTGTTGTTGTTGTTGCCATACTTTTTATAAACTTAAGCTTTCATTCTTGGTACTTAGAAAAGTAGATGTAAATATTTACATTTTTTTTGTTTCTGATACAGGGACAATTCTAGCCTTTCTCTACCTGACATCCAAGGTGGACTTATATTTATTAAGAAATACTCTGTGCAAGTTTTTACAGAAAAAGAGTTGGTAAGATGGGGTCTTTTTTGAATCATAATTAATTGAATATTTAATGTAGGGTAATCTTCTAAAAGTTGAAAGTGTTCCAGGTATAGGAAAGCTAGGACCCTCATTACCTTCGATTGATTTCAGGCTATCATACCCTTAAGTACTAATTAAGTGTAACATTGAACATAATGTGTAGAACTAATAAATTTTTAAAACTAATTCAGTTCTTATATATATATATATATATATTATATATATAATAAGTATATAATATATCTATATATATTAATATTAATATATTAATAATATATATATATTATACATATATATGTAACATTATATAAGTAGAAACTTGTAAGGGGTACCACAAACAATGCTGATCAGTCTCAAACGCGCTGCTTGGAGGATCACTGAAGTGATCGTGGGCTCTTGAAAGAATGTAAATAGAAGCAGAAATGTGATGGTCAAGAGGCCAACTCCAATGTAGCTTTGTTGGTTTATTAGCTCAATGTTTCGACCGTCTCAGTCTTCTTCAGGAGCATACTCATTTATGAGACAGGATGCTCATAAATGAGCATACATACATCTTCCTCAGGAGCATACTCATGAATGAGTATGCTCCTGAGGAAGACTGAGACAGTCGAAACATCCAGCAAATAAACCAACAAAGCTACATTGGAGTTGGCCTCTTGACCATCACATTTCTGCTTCTATACATTTGAAATAAATATATATATATTTGCTACTAGTACAGTGTAGTTAAATGTTGATCAGGTCAATATTATGGTAGTCACTATTTCCTTTTATATTACAGCGCCCATGTACATCTTGTTCATATACACCTGGCCCTTGTTGTTCAAAGGGTGGATAACTCTATCCACAGAATAATTATTTACCTATCATTGGATAGCATTATTTGTCCTTTGAACAACTGGGCCCTTTATCTCACCTACATTTTACAAAGTGTGTCACGTTTTTTTTTTTAATCATGCTCCTGACAAAACTAAGGTCTTGAATTAGGAATTTTACATGCATAACCCCAGCAATTTTTCCAAGTATCATAGGGGCCATCGTAATCAGAAATTTGATGTTTGATTTCAGAGTATCATGGGACAATCATTTTAAACTAAACCTTGGTCATCAATCCCCAATTACTACTGTTACATTAATTTGATTGTTATCCCTTGCATCCATGTCACAATCGGCACATAACCTCCAAAAGCCCAGAACTTTGCCAGCTTAATCTCAAATTTCAGTTTTTGACTTTCCTTGAGATACAATGACTGCAGATTTGCTTTGTGTTCCCTTTTTCTTGTTGGTGGAAAAGTCTGATGGTGTCGTATCCACTTTTTTAAAACATTGCAAAATCAATGTTGTATTTAGTAGGAGATAGCTTACAATGAGTGCCATCATAATGTTATTAAGTGGTTAAATAATATATAATCAATTTAATGATGAAAAATTATACTAGCTCCTAATGATAAATGATTATACCAGTGGTTATAATACAGTCTTGTCTTTACACGTGCCTCATTCTTTTAACTTTCTTTCACTTGTATGAGTACAAGCTTGAATGAGCTCCACTAATTCCTATTTGCTTGTTCATTTTGGTAACCGGTCAAGTCGCCCGAAAGTCATCTCGCCCGAAGTCATGTCGCCCGGAACCAGAGTCATGTTGCCCGAAACTCATAGTCATGTTGCCCGATATTTGGGTCATCCTCGGTGTATAAACCTGACGAGGTTTTCTTTGTTTCATGAGGTATTGTTTTGCTTTACGCTATTGTTTATAATGTTTTGTTGTCTTTGTTTTACGTCACTCGTGAGCTTCACAGGTTTTTACACCGAGGATGAGCCCGATATTTTGAGTCATGTCGCCCGAACTTTCATCGAGTGTTTAAACTTGAAGAAAAGTAACTTCTTAAGTAAATCGTAAGGAATAAACTCGTAAAATGTTGACTCGTAGACTGTTTTGGTCCGCTAACCTGCAGGAGACTCAAATATCGCTGTTCATTTCAGCGTTGTTCGTTGCTCTGAACTAAACTGCTCATTCTACAGTACAGATTCTAGTAATTATAAGCGGAACACTGTCAGTAAATTTTTCAGTAAAGAAAAGTAATATCTTAAGTAAAATGCAAGGAATAACCTCGTAAAATTTTGACTCGTAAACTTTTTCGTCCGCTAACCTATGCAAATAAGAAGTTAAAGAAAGACTCAAATATCGCTGTTCATTTGAGCGTTGTTCGTTGCTATGAACTAAACTGATCATTCTACAGCACAGATTCTAGTAATTATAAGCGGAACACTTTCAGTTATCAGAATTTTTCACACATATCAGAAAAATACATCAAGTGCTCTTGGTTTGAAATTACCGCAACGTCATAATCTTGCTTGGCTCCCGGTTAGCTCAATTGGTAGAGCGCCGGACTGTTGTGCGGGAGGTCGTGAGTTCAAATCCGGCCGGACCAACACTCAGGGTCTTTAATTAACTGAGAAGAAAGTGCTGCCTTTTTAAAAATATCTGCAAATGATTAGACTTTCTAGTCTTCTCGGATAGGGACGATAAATGGAGGTCCCGTCTCCTGCAGGGTTGGGGTAGGAGACGTTAATTTCCCACACACGAGATTACTGTGTGATGGATGTCCTCCCCAGGATGGGATGGGGGGTAAAAAAGGGATTAGGTGTCAATTGGAACGAAAGTTCTGTTCCTTTCTCCTCCCATTCCTGTGGCGAATGAATTAAACTTAAACTAAACTTAAACTTGGCAACCACGTGATGATTATTGAGCACGTGCTGTATTCAAGATGGCGGCGTTTTCCAATGTTCCAACCGTAGTGATGTGAACTTTCGTTCGAAACAGAATGCTTCCGCAGAAAAAAACAACAACAGTGAGAACCATACTGTAACTGATATTACCATTTTTTTTTTCCATTTTCGTGTTTTATTTTTAGGATTACTATCTCCGTGATATCAAACAACAGCGAAACGAACAACCTGAGTTTCACGAGTCAACATTTCAGTTACGAGTTTATTCCTTGCCATTTACTTAAGATGTTACTTTTCTTCAAGTTTAAACACTCGATAAAATTTCAGGCAACATGACATAGGATTTCGGGTGACATGGCTGTGGATTTCGGGCAACATGACTCTGGTTTCGGGCGACATGACTTCGGGCGAGATGACTTTCGGGCGACTTGACCGTAAACCCCTCATTACTAACTATATTACACTGCGCGAAGATCTTCATGTAAAATGTCAGGGTACACATGTACTTGTCATATTAACTTTAGGGCCTTTTTACATTATCTTTGGTTGGCATCTATTTCTAGTGAAACTGAATACGATTAAAAGTAACGCTTCAGCAGTGAGTTGTTTAAAAGCGTTTGCAAGATATAAGTATTCAAGCCGGCCAAGTCAGTGGCTCCTCTAAAGTAACCCTTTTCTTTGACGAAAGTTGACCTGCATAAAAAGGTTGATGATCGCCTTCCTCTATACAAGACTTTCTCAACTGTTGTTGCCCATAGTTTCTGTTTTCAAGTCTGTAAGAAAGCGTACATGCAGGGCTCGACACTAACGGTAGCCAACTAACTAAAGCCCAGAAGAAATTCAGTTTTGGTCAGTGGTTTTTTATTTCCACTCACCAGTTTGGCTATTAAACAAACTGCAATTGTCGTAACACCTAAGTTGTCACAAGGCACTTAGCTAGTAAGTTGAAAAGTTAGTGTCGAGGCCTGACATGGGCAAATCTCTAGGCAAACCACTAGCTAGCGTATACCGGAAATGATAATGGATACAAATCGACCGAAGCACGAGTAAAGTGGCCCTTAGACTAAATTTAGTCTATTGATTTGTTTTCCCCTGGGCTTTACTTTCAGGGTGATGCTGAATTTTTTATCGACATTCACCACTTTAAGTTTGCTGGAGGAGAAGGTAACACTCAGTTTGGGGGAAATATTATAGACGCTTCAACGTATCCTCCGCTACAGCAGAGATTGAGGGCGCTCTGGTGGGATACACAGCTTAGAACTCTCCTAGACAATGGACGTTCTTGTCAAGAATTACACAAGACTCTGCTGAGGAGCCATGAAAAGGTCTTTGTTCCAGATGAAATGGAAAAGAAACTAGCAGAGATTCCAGGTAAATTACTACACACATCGTTAATGCTTATGGCAAATTGTACCTTGTAGCATGTAAATACGTTTTGTTAAAGAAGCTTAAAGAAGATGTTGTTTTGTAAATCTTTGAATAGATTAATGAACGTTTGATCGTTTGTCTCACAATATATATATATATCTGTAATTACATAATCATTAGCACTTCGATCTTATTTAATGCTCTCTTTTTTAGTTCAAAAGTTGTAAATAACTGAAGAAGGTCTCTGATCGAAACGTTTTTTATTGAAATTTTTTATATTTTTGACGTCAGAAGTTGTCCATCCTCGCAATTTTTAAACTTTCTACGTTCGTGTTTGCTGTGAGGTTTGGACTGCGAATCTTTATTGATCCTCCTGGCGCGGTGCACCTTTGTCTGCCTGAGAGTTCCATTAACGACTTGCGATATATATATATAAAGATGAGTTTCTGGAGTCGGACTAGTTCAAAAACATTTAAATACTACTCGGAGTTTCATGCTTCTAATGAAGCAATCACCAGGCAACTGGTCTTACCATCGAGCACTTTTATAGCAGATGAAGTCTTCATTTTCAATTACCACTGGTAGTTAAAATATATATATATATATATATATATCCTTTGGTAGTCTGACTCGTTATTGCGAGACGGTCAAATGATAATTATCTATATACGTTCTGTACTACCTCGTTCCCGGGGTCTCTCATCTTCCCGACGAGAGACCCTGGGAACGAGGTTGCGTTCTGTACTTAGTGCTGAAAGGTACTGTAGCGGTTGAAGACGTCATTGTGATTCGGCTTACTGAAGATTATTAACCAAAGTTTAATGTGACTAGAGCGCCCCAGAGTTTGCATAAAGATTAAAAGAATTTGTAATAATTTGATTGTTAATTCATTTAGAATGGAAGGCAAGTTACTACCCCCCTCAGTCCTATCATATAGATAGCGAACTTTTTTCCTGTGGTCAAGAATCATCATCATTCACGAGACTGTCAGACTCCCTCGAAGCTGTTGAGGACAACACAACAAAACTTGAAACTAGAGACATTCTGGCCTCTCAGTCAGAACGAGATGGGCGGACAGGGGTGCAGTTGGTTGGAAAACAGGATTCGAGTGAAATGAGTGGATGTGGTCTTGTTTCGGTGATCCGTGAAAATGAGATTTCCAATACTACTGATAAAGTTGAAATTAATGAGCAGGTTAAGTCTGTGGTAGAAAAATCAAATATAATAGAAAAAGAAGAAAAAGCTAAGGGAAGCGACAAAACTGAGTGTTGTCTACAGGAAGAAGAAAGGGCACCATCGGTGGGTAGTAGCTCAAATTATGTCCCTTCCTCTCAAACTCATGCGCATGTAGTCACCGCTCAACCTTTGGAAGGGCTGATACCTGAGGAGCTGTTTTTGTCTTGGAGTGAAGGTTCACAGCCGAGGGAAAGCAGCGAAGAATCGTACTCCATTTTGCATGGGGGATCTGCTGCCGGCGAGGAGGACGAGGATGTAACTTTTGTGCCTTCGAGCCAAAATAGCCATGAGTTCGACCCAGCACCACAACTTCTCCTGATAACGCCAGGGCGATCCCAACGTGGCTGCTCGCTATCAGAGTCGCAGTTGGAGAAATTTTTTGAAAATAGCGTTTCTTTTGATCAAGTCACCACACCACCCGGGTTATCAGATGTTCTTTCTCCAACTCCAGAGTGTTACACTAAGATAAAACCTCAGAATGTGTCTCTAAATTTGGGAGGCCAAAAGAATACTGTAGGTAGCACAAACTCTCACGAATTCACCATTTCGCCCTCGTGGAGAAACTCTGTCAGCAATACTTTGACTGGCAAGCAGCCCATCCGGATAAACACCAATGTTGAATTTGATATTTTGTACTCTCAAAACACTTGGAGTTTATCTCAACCATTTACACAAGAATTTAGTGCTGATTTAATTGAAATTAACAAACGCCAGTCAATAAAAAGGAGACATTCTGAGACTCAAGATCATTCACGCAAGACATGCTTATTATATGGAAATAAGCGAGACAAAGACGTCTTTTATGGTGGCACTCCTGTTAGTCCAAGTAAGTATGAAAAAAATTGATAAGTAGACATCTGAACGAAAGAAAGGCAAACAGATGAGTAAAAGGGACAATTAAACAAGAGCGTGGCTACATTTCTTGACGCTGCAATGCTAATTGTAAATTTTCAGCCAAATCAAAGGCTGGTTGTAGCGGGATCTCTTTCGCAACCCAAACTAGAGGACGATAGTATTACATGCTTGTTATATATTATTCCTTTTCAGATAGCACATTATTCTCAGTTAAACGTAGTCAGGCTGGTACCTCTCAAAGTCAGCAAAACGACAACTCTGTAAGTCATTGAACAACTAGCATTTAGTTTTGACGCTCTCTGAAACACTCCTAATGTCGAAGCATTTACCTCTCTTTTAACGCCTCTCTTTTTTATACCTCGCTCACTCTACCTCAAACGAACAAGCCATAATCTGGTCCAGAAGTCCTTGTGGTCATTTCAAAAATCACACGCAAATGGTCCTTACCTTATATTAGCATGTGTATCACGAATAATCAAGGTAGCGACGTTTTGAAAATGATTGCGCTCCTCCCTTTCCTCACAAGCAGTATAAAGTGGAATGAGAGGCAAGGATTGCAAGACGAAGGCAAGGCGTCATTTGTGCGTCGTTTAGTTGAAGTAGAACATGACTATTCACAAGATTGTATGTTCGTGTGACAAATACTCTGCATATTGTAAGGATTTAAAGCTCGAAATGACGTTGCGTTTTGATAAGAATGAAGAGAGTAGGATGGTATTTGGTTTTCAGTTCGTTAGTTAGTTCCCGTTTGTCGATGGGTGACACAAGCCCACAGAAAATGAATAAATATACAAAAAAAAAATGGTCGGGGAAACGAGTGCATCCACCAGGATTCCACTCGAACGAATGACCTCCACCACTTAGCCATAAGGGGCTCGTAATTAAGTTAGAAAGTAAGTAAACCATATTTATCGAGTGAAACATTACAAAGTCACTTAATCTGATGAACCCATGGTCCTCGTGATGGCTAAGTCAGCTGCTTTTATGGGATATTTCTTATTAACTGATTATTTTTTTGATCGTTTGTCTTTGTGATTTGATAGTTTACTACTTCTCTGGTCAAACCTACTTCCCTGTACTCACAACAGGATCCTTTGGTTCTTGACACGTCAGGATCAACAGGTAGGCTGATAATAAGGCTAATCTTATGCTTTGATGCCAGTTTGAAATTTTCATAGCAGTTCTTTTTAAGAAGTATTCATTGTAATTCATCATCATGGTTTAAATAGCAAAACGGGCCATATTGAACAATAATGCGCAGCTGTTGTTTGAGCTTCAGTTGTTTGCACATAACGATTATTTGGCTATTTGAGCTAAAAGAGGAATAACACTTGTGTTTGGGCTTTGATTTATTCTTTGGATTTAGCGAGCGGTAAGTGAAGCAATCGATTTTAAAATCATTGAGCAAAGAAAACACTAAGGCATAGTTGCCAGAAAACGGTAATTAAATGTTAGAAAAAGGGTAAGGTCCGAGGGAAAAGGGTTCCATGCCTTCGCCCCTCTCCATTTGAACGGAAGGACGTATATAAACCACGCTGAGATAGTCTGTAGGCTTTGATGTGAAAATATATTAAACTGATAGCTTGATATACTATTTTTACAGAGGGTAACAAGTCGTCTGAAGAAGAAGAACTTCACACGTTAAGAACTCCGGCGTTTGACTCCCTTCCATCTTTTCAAGTAAGTTTGTACTGTTTTATTGTTCTTTTTTTCCTTGACCAACACGAACTTAAACTCAGATGTTCGAACTACCCTAGAATTTAATTTTTAGCTTTAACAATTTGAGTCACAAGCATTGATAAATAAAACAGAAAAACTTCAGATCATAATTAAATTGTAACTTAGCAATGTCCATATGTTATCATCAGACGATAATTACCGTGTTCGCTCCATAACATGTTTCGTTGTACTAAAAGACCTGCCACCAAGTCGAATCTTATACATGATTAAAGAAATAGCTTCATTTTAAATTTGACCTTTTTAAATTTTATAGATTTATTGATTATTTTGTTATGTAGATTCCAGTCGAAAAGGGCAAACCACTCCATCAAGAGGGCGAGGTATTTTAAATTTAAAAATAGAGTTGCGTGCATAAATGAAATAAGCTCAGTATTTATAGTGGCTGAAGGTAGAATGGTTCTTTACCGGATGTCCTTAAGCAATTTTAGTTTGTTGTGTCAAACTTAGCCTTTACCAATTGATTGTCACGAATCAAGTTGTTTGTTTGGTTATTGTTGATCAAAATGTTCGATTGCAACCTTTAAACCGACTTAATGAGCAGCTCCCAGTCGGCTTGTTAGCTCAGTTGGTAGAGCATTGCACCAGTATCGCAGTCCCTTTCGTTCTCTTATATTTTTTAGCTCAGTTCAAATGCCACAAAGCAAAAAGATGCTGACTTTGTCGAGAGTATGTTGAAAAGCATTGGATCAAAGAGGAAAAAACCTCGTAGGAACTTTAATTGGTTCTCAGATGCCTATTAGGAAAGGTATGTCACAATATTTTTTTAGGTCTTTTTTATCGTATTGGAGAATCAGAATGAAACCTTGATTACAGCATCTGGAAAGGTTAACGAACACCAACTTGGTATAGACTATAACTATACTGACTGCTTTCATAAGCAAAGTGTTTTTGAAGCTCGTGAAAAATCCTTGTTAAAAAAAATAATGAAAGCTATGTTTGAGTCCAAAACGTTCTGAGGATCAGATTCTTTCAAATTTTGTCAGCAATTGAATAATTCAACGCACTTCAACGAAGAAGTGATTTAGAGCGTCACATTATGTTGAATTTTGTTTTTCAGTTTTTTTCCCCTCATTATTTATACAAGTACATGGACCCGTCGAGGTGTTCCACTTGAAAAGATGGTTTGGTGAACCTTCGCCTGGATAGAGGTGAATTCCATGATCGTCATGCAAAAATAAGAACGCCACAGTGATTTACTTGTTATCAGGAATCACTACCAAGCACATCATTACTCAACTTGGATCCGCGATTATTTTCCTTTGGATTTACCGCGCCTAAGTACTTTCTTTACATTTTGATGACCCACTGCACCAAAAAGAGAAAACAAATCACCACTCTCTTAATAACACTTTACATCCAAGGGTCATCTCATTAATCATCATTGATCGGTCAAATCATATATTATTTCATTTTTTAATTGTGGGTTTAAACTTTATCACCTCTCCCAACCGATAATTGAACTCAGTTCTGGTTATGAATTCAGCTTGCAAGCTGGAACTTTAAAACTCTCTAATAAAAAGTTGATATAAAAGGGAAACGACAATGTTGCTTTTAAATAAAACAATTGTTCAACTTATCCTTGACAGGGAAAGAGTTGACAGGTCTCCAGTTCGTCTCTGCATTTGTCGTTTTCCACTCATATCAGTGTTATCTCTCTGTGATCTCATATCCAGTGGGCTATAGTAAAGTGAATAATTATTATTACTTCATAAACTGAATCGGTGACGTTATTGTCTTTGGAAACCTCTAGAATCAGCTCTCTTCTCTTTCTTTACATTTTGCGTCATAGGGTCGTGCGTGGTGTTCCATAATACCTTATTATGGTCATACACGTACACTTGTCCAGATACATCAAAATGGAAAAAAAATTATATTACATTCTTAAATTTTGACAGGGAGAAAAGATTAGAGCTTTATCTGCACCATCTTCCGAAAACAACAAAATAACGATGTCCATATTAATCTCTGCAAACATCTTTGTCCATTCATCGGTGATGATAACGAAAGGAGAAAAAAATCAATCATTTTGTATTTTATTAAACGTTTTATTATTTTTTCTGTCAGACAAGTACTTTAAAAAAAATGATAATTTTTAGCCATCTCGCCTATATTGAACAAAATTTTTTTCTTCTTTTGCTTGTTTTCATTATGCATTTGTGGTTTTCCTTATCTCTGTCAACTTTCTCAGCGTATGAGGCAATGTGATTTATTTATTTAAGATGCGAATTGAATGTGAAACTGACTATTTGTTAAATTTAAAAAGGAGTCGTTGAATATGTAATTTTTTTGTCGCCAGTGTCACCTATCTACTCAACTCGAGTGAAATCTCTCCCCTCTACCTCACACATGAACTCTGTTCACCGTAACCGCAACATCGTTTTCAAAAATTGATTCTATTTTGTTACTATGTTAACGGTTCACTTCAAACAGTTTCCCGATCAGTCTCATATGATTCTATTTTTGCGACCGAAGGCTCGTTCCAGGTCTCATGAATTATACAGCAACATGATATTCGTTATTGAGAGAAAAATCCTTGGAAAATTTGCGACCATCAGTCGCAAGAAAAATTAAATCATTCGCGAATCCAAACAGAACATTTGAATAGCAACGTTTGTACCTTTTGTTCAAGGTAGTGCGTGAATCTAAAACATCGATTGGTTGATTTACATATGTAATTTGCATTAGATTCAAAACAAAGCTCCTTTGATGTGTGTTTTTATCTTTTATCCCGTTTTTCTCTGGTTTCAGTGGCCTCCTTGATCAATTCCACTGCGTTTTTGCCCATAAATCTCCACTTTATTCCCTTCAAATGTTATCAACACCCACTCGTAAAGAACTTTCGCGTAGATAATGTAGCTAGATGCGCTCTCCTTCAGAGTTTTTGTTTGAATTTGTGTGCAGTCATTACACCTGTCTCAGGCACTCAGACGCAAATTTGAATTTTATCTGTGGGAGAGACCAGCGCTTCAGCACGCATGCGTCAGGCTTGTACACAACATTAAAGATCGCTTCTCATTCAGAGCGAATGTTATTTTGATCTTGCGGGCAGTCAACATGGAGGCCGGTAAAGATGCTTGTATGCTACAATTTAACAGCGACACGAAACTAACTTCAGAAGAGTTCGTGAAAGTCTTCAAGGAATTTGACAAAGACGGTAAGAATTAATTCCCCAAAATAGAATTGAAAATTGTCCATCGCGGTCATGTTTGAATGAACGATTTGTGGAATCACACGAAAGAGTTATCTTGCATCCCTCTTTTTTATTTTTCAGGGAATGGTTACATAGAGGCAGACGAGCTGAATATGTTTTTGGTAACTCTCCTGCAGGAGACAGGCAACGAGGTATCAAAGCGCTTTGCACGGTAACATGTATTGGTTTATTGCATTGAATTTTGGGTTATGTTAGTACAAAGTGTAAACGCGAAGCTTTTTCACCGCACTCCGCGAATTTTTCCGATGGTCTCGCAAATCGCTCTTAATGTATGTATCTTTTTACTTTAAAACCAAATAAATGTGAATGTTCTTCTCGTATCAGTTAGCCACATGGGCAAATTTTCATTTTGAGATCGGTGATTTTATTAACTTCCTAGGGCGATCTTATACATATCATTGTAAGCTTTTCGATGTTTTCGAGGTCAAGCCGTTAAATAGTTTCACTGGTCCATGAGGATTTTCTATTCTGAAGTGTTTCTTATAGCATTTTTTTATTGAACAGACATTCAATTATTCGAAACTGGCTCGCTTTTGATATTAAACTTAGTTGTCCGTGAATATTGCATAAATTTAATCTCGTGTTATAATTTTTTGTTCAATTTAATATGCAGCAATTACAAAACTAATATTTTTTTGCTTAGAAAATGCTAAGTGATTTAAATCCAAAAATCACAGCCTTTTATTTCTTATTCGCCTTTACTCACTTCCCTGCCGAATTTTTGTGTTAAATTTTTGCCTCCTTGAATATACTAATAAAATGTTTACAAAAGTACATGAAAGTTTACAGATTAAATAACGTATTTTATGAATCCTCTTAGTTCTGAGCAGCTTTGGTTCTCGCTATGTTTAAATTTTCCAACCTAATAATTATTTAATGAATTTTGGTTTTTTTCTACTGTGCAGGCTAATTACAGAACGATTCATTGGGGATTCGAAAACGGCTATCTTTTAACACAAATGCCGCATTTACAAAAGTACTCGGTAAATTGCATTTTCAAGACGAACTGATCTTTGACAAAGATTAAATCGCGAAGGCGTTCTACTTATTACCTTTATCAAGACAATCTTTCATAATTCTGACATAACAGCGGATTTGATTGGTCGAAGGGCTTTCCCATACGATGCACATAATTTATTTATGGAAACGCTCGACTATTTTCAATATTGAATCTTATCCTTTGGATTTTCTCCTCTTTGAAAAAATAAAAAAGGGAAGGATCTATTTGTTTCGCTTTGACAAGTTTCTGTTTAAAAAGAGATTTTTAAACAGAAACTTGTCAAAAAACTTGTTAAAAAACTTTTTTTTCCGAGCTTTCTAAAATCTGGTAGGATTGTGTTTCACGATCCTTGATTAAAAAAAGATGTCGAAACAAAGCAGAAGTCATGAAATATATAGATGTTGCCATTTTTACTCAATTTAATCAGTGCAGCTTAGCCTTAAATGACTTGCAAGCCTATAGGGATGATAGAGACGTGTCAATTGTCGTTACATGTAACTCGTTTCGGTAGTTTACAGTGGAACTCGCTGGCTCTTGTGAAACCTTCCTGAGTTATGGAAGAAAAACAAGATCGGAAAAAAGTATATACTTATATATAGACACAGCAAAATTTACATGATGGTATTCCTAGATAAATATAAAAGCGTTTTTCTTTAATTATTCAGTCGTATCCAACGACTGCATCCCATCACACTGTTTTGATAAAGAGTGTATGTACCAATTATCGTTTTGAGGGTGATTTTCTTGTTCCTGTTAATATTTTAGGGAAGCTACACCGCAGAATTATCTTCGATGCCTAATCAAAACACAATGGCCATTGCGAACCTGCCCTCCTTCGCGTTGCTTGGATTTATCGCCATAGAAATTCGGGCATCAACTCTGAGTTCAAAGTTTTCAACAAATGCCATTTAATTTCCTGCTAATTTCCTAGAATTCTTGGAGTACACAACTGGGCGTAAATATTTTTCTTTTTTACAGTGTCCAATTTCGACTTTATAACGAAGGAAATACAACCAGTCACAGTTCGAGCTATCGAAAATTGGTACGTCGCATTTTTAGAGCATCTTTCAAAATGAAAGTAATTTCTGACTGATGACATTAAAATTTCTTTCATATCGATTGTACTCTCAAGGTTTGCAAGTAAAAAGATGTTCAGTTGTAAGCAAAGTAACCTTGGAATGGCCTTACCTTATCAAAGGAACCTTTTTTTTATTACGAATGTGGCTTTTTGCTTTTCGTTTTGCTCATGCTAAATTGAATCATGTTCCTACAGTATTACACCATACGTTTCTCACCTTGACCGTTGTTTACGTCTTGGAAAATAAAGAACTTTTGGAAATTTATTATGTAGGAATGTGCACCATATGAAAATTCGTCCAAGACGCGGTTAGCGTCGTGGCTTTCGATTTTTCTTGAAGAGTTCGCTCTCCATAAACGAACAGGCCGTTTGTGGTTAAAAGTTAATTGAATCAATAATTTATGAATATATCTCTTTAAGCGATCGTCATTAACACACTGGGGGACAAATGTGGCCATTAGTCCCAACGGGCGGTATAAAAATAACTCGCATTGAATGGCTAACTTGATAACTCATGGAGAGCTCCCATTTGGGCACCATTCATGACGATCCTTCGTTCACCCTTTGTTAGGAATATGTTTTTTCAAATTACTCATGTTTCTATTTAATTTTTGCGGTTGTACAAACTGCTTCGGATGAGAATATGAAAAGGACTTTTTTTGATAGCATGTTGAGTTTTAGATTGATCATAATTGCAGAGTGAGAAGAAATTATCAATAAAATGTTTGTTCCACTCAATATGAAATAACCAATCACAACTGTATCAGTTTTTTGAGAATTTCGGACGTTTCCTCGAAATGACTCGTCCATACGTACTCGGACATTTTTGAACACGGAGATTACTTTTTAACGAGTTAAAAAAAATGGACAGACGTGAACAACGCCTCAATGGTTTAAGTTTTATCTGTGAGAATATGCTGGGTAAAGATTTCTACTTAAGCGAATCATGTTGTCAATGTTAAAGTTATTGATACAATGAGCAACAAGGCGTCTCACCGGTCTGATGATAAACTATTGTAGCACGAGAAACTTCAGATATTTGGGATAGTTGGTCATGAAAAATGCGATTTTATTGAAAACTAATTACACAACTCATAAAAAGGCGATGGAAATATATGCTCTTTGTCACTTACTGGAAGTAAAAATTGAGTTAAAATCTTCCTTTTTTTCCCTTTTGAAGACACCATCACCAGAGGAACTTGAGAAATTCAAGGAGTATGTGCTAGAAAAGTATGACGAGAATTGTGACGGCAAAATAAGTATGGATGAGGTAAGCACCTAAGGTATACCATAAGGTGACTTTGTGGCGTCACAAGTGGACACTTAATATAGCTATTCTTAAATTTGGTGCAACTCGGGTGAACGCCATCATGTCGTGACTCTTAGCGAGGTTATTCTTCCTCTAAATGACTCTAGTGTTATTCTTGTATCGTTGATATCGTTGAGTTTATCTTGAATGATCTTGATTAACTGGTAGTTTCTTAGCGTTGCTGATGAAGCGATAACCAACCGTAGCTTCCATTACATTTTACCCTTTTTACTCGATTATTTTTGACACCCTATCATAGCGTCAGAGGTTCGTGAGCAACACCCTGGCTCATTCAGCACAAATAATGCACAAAGTATTCTCGTTTTTGTTTTCATCATAGTCAGTACTTATGTAATTTTTTTTCTGAATTTTAGCTCGAGAACATTCTTCCTACAGAGGAAAACTACTTGAAGCAATTTCGAGCAGAGTTCTCATCTTAGAAAATGGATAGTATACAATTCATAAAGGTGAGAGACGTAAGTCAGGTATCAACTTTTATCTCCATTCCATTTAGGATCTGAAGTGTCAACATTACTCGAATTTGCCCCGAGGTGACAGTTTTAAGCCCATGCATTCCTCCTGCGATGGAGCAAAGTCCATAGACAATACTTCATCTCGAAAAAACAGATAAAAACGAAAACGGGATAAAATAGCGCAGTGTGGGTACGACTACCATGTTATAACGATGATTCTTTTGTACCGCCTAAAAGTCCACCCCCAAATTATCTCGTTAGCGTCTACGAGTTTCATCCGTAATGAGTGTGAGTAGTATAAAATTCACGAGTTCGATTACCATTTTGAACCACAGGACATACATACATACATACATACATACATACATACATATACTTTATTTCAACTCGAATTTTCAGAGTAACTCTGTTGAGCTAATATCTTCGAGAAAGAAAAATACATGTCTGTCAAATTATAAATAGAACTACTACCAATACAATGATAAGAAATTACTACTAGAAGTCCATTTTACTTATGGCTATCTTAAAATCTTTAAATGATGTAATTGTTCTCTTGCTGTCCGGGAGCGAATTCCAAGTTTCTGCTGCTTGATGTCGGATGCACTCAAGACCATATTTTGTTGTTTTTGGTATAGGTAGAGTCAGAATATTCTTTCCTCTCAGTGAATAACTGGAATTACGAAGAACAAAAAGTTCTTTTAGATATCCAGGATTGATAGAAACAAATAAGCTCTTGAAAACTACCATTAGAGTTTTGTAAAGTCTTCCAGTATATAAGGATGCTATCTTTGCTTTCTTTAACAGATCATCATAACTAGACAGTGGATCATTAAAAATAGATCGTAAAGTACTTTTGTTCAAAGACTCTCGTTTATCACAATTTCTAGTGCCAGAAAAATGCCAAATAAGAGAGCAATATTCAAAGTGTGGTAGAATAAAAGCTTTATATAAACGCAGTATTACATAACTGGTAATAATGTTTTTAAATCTCTTAAGAACACCAAATTGTTTATTAACCTTTTCACACATCTGTGAGATGTGACAATTAAAGCTAAAATCCTTGTCGATAATTACGCCCAATAATTCATCTGAATTCTTAACAGGAAAAGAAAATTAATATTCACTATTCGCATCAATGACCATTGCCTGATGCTTGTCTGGATTTACAACCATGCCATTTCGCTCATACCAACTGTTAGCAATTCCAAGTTCGTATTCCAGCCGTGTGTTTAGCATTTCGAGGTCCTTGTCAGACGAGTACAACGGTTGATCATCGGCATAGGCATTCAAGTTTGCTTGCTTAATGTGATAGAATAAATCATTGATGCGAATGTTGAAAAATATGGGGCCAAGGACACTTCCCTGGGGGACTCCTCTTCTCACTAACTCCCATTCAGAAAATGTGTTTCCAATTTTTACGCGCTGTATTCTTGCAAAAAGGTAGCTCCTCAAGAATCCAATGCTCATCTCGCCAAGACCATAAGCCTTGAGTTTGGCAAGCAAGAGAGCATGAGGGCTACTTTTAAAAGCCTTTGATAAGTCCATAGAAACGATTGCTACAGTTTCTTTACTATCACGACATTTCCTCCAGTGTTCTATCAGTCTTAATAAAGAGGTTTCACAGCAGTAATCTGGTCTATATGCAGAGATGAAATTTGATAATATATCTTGATAAAAAGGCTCAAGTTGTTTTGCTAGGATTCGTTCAAAAATCTTATTGAGGGCCGGAAGAACAGATACGGGTCTGTAGTTCTTTTTACAAAATTCATCGTCCTTCTTCGATAAAGGGGTCAGTTGCCCCATTTTCCAGCGTGAAGGATAGTGACCTAGATTGTTTGAACAGTTCATTAGTTTTGCAAGAGGCTCTGATATCACAGATGCAGACTCCTTCAGTAATCGTGGAGGTATAAGGTCATGGCCGCAGGATTTACGCGTATTCACTCCTAACACAAACTTCTCCAATTGCTTTGAGTTAGTAGGTTCAAAATCGAAATTTGTCGTCATGTTTGAAGAATGGTTAGTTAGTATGGCCTGAATGCTTGAATGAGTGCTGTAATCAGTTCCAAAGTCTTCCTCGTTTATCTCTGCTGCTGCATCAGCAAAATGAATAAAATAACTGTCTAAAATATTGTCCATCTCAGTTTTGTCTTTGATAAGTACCCCATTTTCTTCCAGTAGGATGTCGTTAGCTTGCCTTGATTTCTTTGACTGAAGAAAAGGACGACAAGTGTTCCAAAACTCGTTCGCTTTCTCTGTTGCTGATTTATTGAGAAAGTATGCCTTGATCGCTTTTCGTCTCAAAGAAGTACACTTATTTCTTTGCTTTTGATGGAGAGCATAGTTTGCATCTGTGCGATCTTATGTGAAATTTTTCCACAGCTTATTTCTGTGTCGGATGGATTTGCGCCATTGTTCCGTCTTAAAAGGCACTTGATTGCCTCTCACATGGAATTTCTTTATCGGTGCTTCTTCTTTTATAATGTCCAGATAAAGTGATTCAAATGCAAATAATTTATTGTCCACAACGTCAAAAACGGAATGTTAGCATCGAGTGCAAGATGGATAAAAAGCATATTTTGGGATTGATGACGTTGCGAAAGGAAAGATTGGAATTGAAAGAAATTAAAGAGAGTGAGAAGAGATGAATGTTTAAATTTTTCCCAGCTTTCGTAAAACGCGTTACTCGTTTAAAAACTCTCACCTTCGTAACAGCAACTTTTCCCAAAGGAGATGCTTCCAGGTTATTATGAAATAAATTAATTTGTATTTTATTGATCAATTGATAAATCATTTGATGATTTGTTTTGTTTTTTGTATCTTTTTTTACCTTCGCAGATCTGGAATCACTATGATAGTGACAGAAGCGGGTACATGGAGGGGGACGAAATCGAAGCGTTTCTGAAAGATTGGTTGGAAGCAGACGATCAAACCGTGTCCCCGCAGCGAATTTCGGACTACAAAAATTTTATAGTAAGAATAACCAGAATTCTTTCGTGTTTAACTTTCCTTTTCACGTATGCAATGCAAGCGTTCTAGCCGTGTTAAAATGATTTCAGTATTTATGTTGTTCTTCGTGACTGGCAGTTATTACACAACAGCATTGCCTCCAATAATGACCATTGAATTTTGAAATGTTTGATGGAAAGGTATCACGAGGCCTTCTGTCATATCATGCCTACCATTCCCCGCTCCAAGTCTCTGTTTATCGAATCACGAAGTGCCTTCGTTCTGTTGTACATAGGAAAGTGACCTTTGAATTTGGTTCTTTTAGATGGATCGCTACGACGACAACAAAGACGGGAAAATTGGATTGAAAGAACTTGCCAAGTAAGGCTTCATTAGTCTAGTGTGATTTTTCATTTTTTGTGAGACCAAAACAAAATGAGTAGCAATGACTTTAACCATCATTTATTCAATAGCGCATTTAAAAAAGACCTCGTATTTACACAAGTAGGTAACAAAAAGTATCGTTCTGAGGAAGGAATCAAAAAGGAAAATACGTTGCCGAACGTATTTTTGAACAACAATTTGGACCTTATAACAGTTTCCTTTGACCTGTCGCGTATTCCAAAACTTGCCTTGAGCTGTGGGGGGTAAATTATTTTCAAAATGACCAGAACTAAAGCGAAAACTGTTTAAAGTTTATGTCGCCTAAGTACGAATTAGCTAGGATAAAATTTCAGTATGTACTAGGCACATCTGGGGAAAGTCTATTTGGTTCATTGGCGCAACACACGAGTAAGTGAGAGCTCCCTCTACCTGCCTAGTCTTTTGGAGTTCGACTCGGAAACATTTTATCTAAAGCTTGTTTTCAATCATCTATTGTGGTGTAGGATCCTGCCTCCTGAAGAGAACTTCTTCGCTAGGTTTCAGGTACTGAATATTCCCCTCTATATACGCTACTTGTTTTTATTTTTTCGCTTTGACTTAACTTGACCAAATGTTTTGCTGCGTACCATAACAAAAATAATGAAGATTTTTTCATCATACTGCAAACAGCATATCAAGATTCATCTTTCTGTTGAGTGAAAAAATATTTGACCATATTGCTTCTCAGCCACCGAATGTTTTAGATTCTTTAAGGCGGCTCTGGACTGTATATATAATATTTTAAACTTGGCGAGAAGATGAATCTTGGTATGCTGATTGCAATTCTGTATTGAGAGTCATCGGCTCATTAATCAAGAACTGAGGATTTCCAAGAAGGTTGTAGAGGTGCTATGATAATCTTTTATATAAAAAAAAATATCACAACTTCAGAAATGATTAAGAAATTTTGGTACCATTTGCAAAGAAATATAACATAGTGCCTACGGCCTCTCCAAAAGAAAGGCACATTAGACACAAAGACTAGAGAGCTACCGTCAGTGGAGGAATTGATCTTTTAAAAAAGCGAAACTATTTTGTGCTACCTTTAATCAAGCTCATGATAAAGACTATACTTTTATCACAACCAAGTGCCTTGAGCACAGGATATGTGTGCTATATAAATAAAATTTATTATTATTATTATTATTATTATTATTATTATTATTATTATTTAGGGAAAGAAGTGTTTATCAAAAGAGGACTTCGAAGCAGTGTTTGACCATTATGACACGGTAAGTTGTTAAAAAAGTTGATTGTGTCTAAGGGTCCGTTGTGTTGTCACTGGTGGTGTATTATGAATTGTAATCAGCTGATTTCCAACGATCGGTGTTGCCTTGTAGCGTTCGCAATGGCAATCACCACCAGGCCTGTTCTTCTTCTTGACCACACTTTTAGCAAAAGCATTGTTGCATCATAGTTATGTTAAGAAGTAAAATAATTTTTTTGTCAGTTGTATCAGAAGTTTATTTGGGTTGACGTTTTTTCTATAGGACAAGAGCGGTGAAATCGAAGGCTCTGAACTGTTGGTTCTCTTGCGTGACGTCATGAAACGGATGGGACTGGTAAGAAACTCTCAAATTTTCGAAAGTAGTCTTACTTTGCGCAATGATTAAATTTCGCTCACTGAATTTGATTGTTTGATCGTCTTAGGAACCCGACAACGCTGCAGAGCTGGAGAAAATGAGAGAAGTCGTTCTTGAAGTCAGCGATAAAGACAAGGATGGGAAACTTTCCAAAAGCGAGTTGTCGATGCTGTTGTCCGACATGAATGAGTAAACATTTTCAATAACAACGGATGAGAACTTTACAAGATAATGAGAGTTTTGAATTGGTATTTATTAGACGCATGTGGTATAGCGACTTGGCAAAGCAAATTGTGAAATTAGGCATCTTTGCTAGGAATTGAATGGCTTGGATCTTCCCTTGGACAACCTACTACATGTTTACAACTCAACCTTACCAGCATGAAGGAGATAACTTTAATACTATGCCAGTCTTCTTTCAAGAATTTTTGGGGGAAACACCAGAAATTTCCCTGTTTTTCTAATCTCTTTTTTGTAGAATAAGCATTTTTTAATTCTTCGAAACTTTCCCCTGAGTTTTCTCATTTGGCACAAACCGTGGTAGATCCTCACGTCTTTTTTCTAAAACAGTGCGATAGAAGTTTTAAAAAAGAACAATATTGTCCAGTTGCCCCAAGTTTCGTAAATTAGAATTTAAATTGTCAATTCAGTCTTTTTACATGTTGAATTTGAAGCATTTTAGGAGTTTTCTATTTGCCAAGAAATCCTTTCATTTGAAAAATTATCTTTGTCCGTGAATAATGTACCTCATGATAAAATAAACAGGTACTTTCTGCGTTGATGTATGTGCAAATGTTTTATTTCCTGAAGATAACATTTCATATGGCGGCGAGCTAATGGGGGAAATACCCGTTTGATCAACTTTCTAAAGGAAAATAACTTTTAAAATGGCCATGGAAAATTAAAGTTATCCATTGACACATCTGCCCTAGAATAAAAAAAGGAAAGCAACGGCAAAATCAAACTTGAAAATCAATTTTAAAGCTAAAATTCTCCACGACTAAAAAAATGAAAAAACGGAAAGTTGTCTTTCAAAACAAATCCCTTAAACCCCCTTAAAAAGAAAGAAGTTACTAAAAAAAAAAAAGTATCTTAGCATTAGGCTTGGCCTGACTCATGACAGTTTGGACAAGATTTTTTTCACTTCCTGCTTGCTAAATTTCTTGTTCTTGTCTTTGTCGAATTTCTTCATCTTTTCTTCTTTAAACTTTTCAAAACTCTGGCCCGGCTGCGGGTACAAAACAAACAAAAAAAAAGACGAACTTAAGATAACTATACTTTTCACTTGCGAGGAACACATACAAACATGAATTGAGCTGAGAAAGGAAGATTATTTCCGTTTTTGTTTGATTTTTCTGGTTCTAATTGTTTTATGTTTTGTTTTTAAGTAGTATAAACACTACCGACAATCTTAGGCTATTTACAATGGCATGCATTAAACAATTTAACAGTGGCTACATAACTTACTAACATCTTTTTCCAAGCAAGCAACTTACTCTAACGAACCTAAAAACTGAGGATTGTAAACTTATGGTTAGCTTTTAGTTTTCTTCATCTAGCGATTCATTGAATTGTTTATTTTTTCTTAACCCTTGACCACCAAGAATGCCTAGTCACCCCTCGTCATTCACCTTAGGAAATGTATAAAGAACACTATGGAGAATGAGATACAATGAATATATGAGGTTCATATATTTTGAACTGCGGTATAGATACATATGATGCACGATCCTCGCAGTAGATAGCGCTATTTATGCAATAGCGAAAATCAGACCTGAGAAAAATCAGGCCTGTACGGGACTCGAACCACTGACCTCTGCGATACTAGTGCAGCGCTCTACCAATTGAGCTAACAAGCCAGCTGGGAGCAGGCCAGTTGGCCATAATACCGCAGGCCAGTCTACTGCGAGGGTCGTGCATCATACGTATCTAATACCGCAGTTCAAAATATATGAACCTCATATATTCATTGTATCTCATTTATCACTTTCACGGGTTTATTACGAATCAACTTAACGGCCTGCTCCCAGTTGGCTTGTTAGCTCAATTGGTAGAGCGCTGCACTAGTATCGCAGAGGTCAGTGGTTCGAGTCCCGTACAGGCCTGATTTTTTTCAGGTCTGATTTTCGCTATTGCATAAATAGCGCTATCTACTGCGAGGATCGTGCATCATACGTAACTATGGAGAATATGCATGCTGGTGTTCATGAGGGTGAAAAGAGCTGAGACCTACCTTGTGTTTTCTATCGTAGAGGTCTTTCAGGAAACCTTCAAGCTCGCACCCCTCAATTTCGTCACTTTTGTCCTGACGAATGGAATAATAACGTCCTTTACGATTCTAACAAAACTGATCGCGATACCAACGTTACTCAAAGACTAAAACCTTTTTGGAAATATATACTGATAATCTTTTACTACGATGCTAACAACAACGTAGCTCTAAAGCCTATGTATAAGGCTAAAATATTCAGTGGTGATAATAATTAAGTTTTGACACTTGCCTGGTCGTAATGTGCAAATATCTCTTCGAATTCTTCTTCAGTAAAGGCCTGGAATAGATTTGGGAAAAAATGGTTACAAAGCAGGTATTGGAGCAAAATGGGAACCTATTTCACATGTATTTCAATTTTAATTGAAATGTGAATTAAAAAAAGGCATGATTTTAAATGATATTTGTAAGTTTGTCTTTCTACGTGGATCTCTCTCACCTCGTATTGCTCCAGAAAGTTTTCCTCAACTGGGCAAAATCTGCAAAACAAAGTTGCGTAAAAAGAAATGGGAAAACAATCTAACTGGGCGAAGAAGGAGGTTCATAATTATGCTTTCTTTCATATTTTGGTTCGATCAAGCCCCATTTCGATTTTCTAAAGTCAATTTAAATCTGTTTTGACTTGTAAAAACATCAATTTCTTAGTAAGAGAATATCACGAGAATGTAATCTCTTCTTGCGAGTCGTAGCTATACGAGACATTTAATTTGACTAAAGCAAACATATCATAATAAAAACGAAATTTCGAGCTATGCAAAATGTTTCATGTTTTATGGGCATTTCACTACTAATTATAACAAATTAGGAATAGGAATTGAGAAGAGAAAATAGATTCTTTTTTTAAAAGAATATGATTTTTCCCATTACCCAAAGAATCAATGCACATAATAAAAGAATAATGTTTGGGTCTCAGTTTACTTACTTGCACATTTTTTCTAAGCTGACTTTATCCTCTTGAATGTTCAGCATTTCAAACTGCGAAAAAAATTTATAATGTCCGGTTATTTTCGCCTTCATGATAGGATAACTATAACTAACTATATAACTATGACAGATGTATTCTCAAAGGTATTGGTCTTAGACATAGATCTTATTAACCAAGCGCGAGGGCCGTACTGGGAGAATATCGGCCCGAGGTCTTGACAGTACGGACCGAGCGCAGCGAGGTCCGTACAAAAAAAAGACCGAGGGCCGATATTCTTCCAGTACGGTCCCGAGCAAGCTTGGTTAATAAGAGATTTATTATACGACTGAAGTTCAAAGGGACACGAGTGCGGTATCGTTCGGGACCATTCGGGACAGTGCCCGGTCCAATACTTAGAGAATATTGGACCGGCAATAGAGCATTTTGATTGGTTGATTTTAGTTATTGGCCCTCTGACTGCCCGAGTCGTGTAATAAATGTTTATTACAGCACAGGTCTCTTTTCTAACTCGTCCAAGATAGCCATCTGAAAAATAATACTTGTCCATATTATATCTTTCCCGAAAGAAAGAAAAGTGAATGAGCCACCCAGAAAAATAAAATGTATGCCGTACATTTTTACATGTTACATACTTAAAATTTGTCTTCTTAAAAGAACAGAAAGTTAAAATAGAATGCTATGTAATTATAGCCATAGGTGTCTTACCATGGTTTTGATGTAATGATCAACTTTCCTTTCTAATTCTTCCGTATCTTCAGAGTCTCCCTCGCCCTTGTTCTTTGTAACAATATCGTAAAAAAATTTCTTAAAATAAAAAATTAAAAAGATGTTAGTTTCGGAAAGATGAAGCAGAAGGTATAGAGTCGTCATTCCAAGGTATCGTTACTATGATGATTATTGTTATTAACACTATCATAAGGATGAAAACGTTATAAAATTCCCAATCGTACATGCAAATTCTTGTTAAATAAGGTCTTTTTGACATATATAAGTATACATAATATTTATAATTATCATCAACACTATTTTACTTTATAAATCTTCAACTTTAAAAAAAGGAGAAAGATGAAATGTTGAAAAACGAGTGACTTATTAACAAGAAAAAAGTTTCAGACTTGTAATGTCTCTCTAAAAAACACTTCAGCATACCAGTCGACACATCTAAAGGAATTGTTATCATAATTATTAATATCATTTTCCGAAGTTATTATTATCATCAGTATCACCCTCACCATTGCGGTCACTCACAATTTAATCACTACTATCGTTGTCATCGTTGTTATCATCAGTTTAATCATAATCACTATTATCATCATCAAATGTTACCGCGGCTATTGTTACCTGCAGCTCCACTCTATCAAGATACCCACTGTTATCAGCATCATAATTATTCCAGAGCTATGAAAGAAGGTACTTTATCAGTTCGAAACTGTTATATTTTGATCTATATTTATCTATCTACTTATTGATATCTTTCCCCTACTGATTTCTATGTCTGTTTATTTATTTATTTATTTAATTATTTATTTATTTATTACACCCATTTGTCACTGGTGTTCTCTGCTATCTCGCATGGGAGCGATTTATTCAGGAATCGCACCATTTTTTTGGTCTAAATCGCATCTTTATTCCTAGCTGATGAGAAAGATTTACTAAAATACAACAATCGATCGGATTTCAAGGTTTGTTTAAAGAAACCAATCGAATTTCAGGAAATTGAAAGACAAGTTTTGCAACTTTTGACGACAAAGCTAAGTACTGGATCAGTAGAATATTTGTACGAATACAAAATCCTGCATTTGAGCGACGGAATTTTCATATTTCAAACTGGATGTAATAAAGTGGTAATTGAACTTCGTGTCGTGGAATTTTAGTCTGGAATCATACTTGTGATTTCAAATCACACGTATGATCTCAGACCCAATTGCATTCGACTCAGGTCGATTACCATTATTAATCTTGTTTTATCGACAGTTATTATCTCAGCCAATGTCACCTTAAGTCGGGATTGCCGAGTGAGATTTTGGCAATTTTCTCGGAACAGTTGCATGTAGATATAATCAATCCTCACTGGCCCCAGAGAGAGTTTACAGAAAATTCTAATGCATTGTAAGAAAGCACTTATTTATCTGTACCTTCATAAAATCCACGCTGGTAATTCTTGTTTTCTGCTCCCCGAATTCAGCTGTAAGGAAGTTAACGGGTGCTATTTCCTTTGTCAGCTATCAAAAAAAAAAAAACAAAGCAGAGCCTCCTATAGCTATTTAGCTGAATCAGTCAAAAGATATAGCTTCTCAGCTTTCTCTCTAAACAGAAACGCGACTTTTGAGTTATAGTAAGAGTAATATGTTAGGTTGTGCTTGCATCCATGACACGAATAAGACATTTTTATTACCGTTGTCATAGATACTTCATCGCCATCTTGCTGTTCTTCGCGGATTTTTTCAGCAATTACCACTGCTCTGGAATTTTCTATCAGGCCCTGCAGGTCGTGATTGAAAAAATTGCGAGAAACTAAAATGTAATGCAACAACAACAACAATAAACGGCAAAAACAATGACAACAATAGCAGGACAATAGCGGTTTAGAGCAGTTTATAATTGAGTTTCGAAAAACAAAAACCAAAGAAGTCCCATCGACCAATCAGATCAAAAGTTTTACATTAGCATTAACCAATGAGAACTCAGAGTTAAAACAAGCAAAATGCTTGGAGCATGGGGGAATGACCTTAAATGCCGACCAAGTCGTATTTGTTTTTGTTTCGCATCTGATATGTTGAAAGGATGGCGCAAGTTTCCTTGACCAGTCATATAGCAAAGTTAAATTAAAACCAAAGCAACCATGGATTACTTTCGACACCCAATTGAAAAATAGTAAACACTTTAAAACCCCTCAGATGCGTAAGTGTCATCAAAAATCTTTTCTCTTTAAGGCCCTAAGGCATTAGCGCAAAAATAAAGCACCACGGAATAAGTCTAATAAAAAAGAATCTAAAAAAAAATGTGTGTAAAGAAATAAATGAAAACGGTGCCCTCTGTGAAGATTTTTGTTTTGCCAAAATATCTCAAAATCTACAACCAGTTGCGGTTCTGGACAAATGGTTTAAATCTGAAATTGTGTGTTCAACTTGGTACTAATTACGAATTTTACATAACTACAACACGATTTGTTGTTTTAATCTGTACCACATCATCGTGTATTTTACAAAAATTGATAAGTGTCCCCCCCTCCCTCAATATATATGTAAACACTACTGATACACAGATGGATGGGATGAGGAAATTAGGCGATGTAAAACTCGATCTGAAAAGCTAACGATCTTTTTTTACCAGCGCCACCCGGGATCGTAGTCTCGAATAATTATGTTTTCGAATTAGAAAATTAAAATTTAATTGTTACCCAACATTAAATGGCTCTAACGAGCAATGCGTGGAGAAGCCTGCGCATGAAACTTTGAATTTTCGAAAATTAGTTATTCAAATTAATTCAGGAAAGTTTTTCATCAAATTAAAGGCAAAAATGCTCGATACTAAGTTTCGATTCCATTGGTGCATAAACAATGTACGCTGTCGTAAGGTGCAATTACCTTATTTCTTCTACTTAAATCTAATATTTCTACTTGCAATGACGCTTTTTTCTACCACAAAATTTTACGTGCAAAATGCCTTGAAAGGGCTAGTTTCGCAACGAGTAATGCAACTTGATAGATTGAGGCAAACATGCCCACCTAAGCTGCTAATAATCGATCGAGAAAATTTTTCCACAGGAAACCAAAGTAGAAAATGGCAATCGTATCTTAGCAGGTGGCAGCAGGTAAAGCTGAATTTGAATTTTTCGGTGACAATATTTCAACATAGGCAATTTAAGGCATAAAAAGGTAGTGTAAGGTAATTTCATGCCAGAAAATTGCAACTTCTCTATAATATCAAGCAGTAGCTTTAAAATTAAAAAATTATTATTAGCATAAATGATTTTTAAATTTACATAACGCCTGAAAATTCTGGTGATAAAAAAATTCGCGATAGGAGTGGCTTACTTCTAATAAAAATATTCTTGAGAAAATAAATACCTCGTCCACAAAAGCCTTCAAAAATGCGTCTAGTTCGCTCAGTTTGATGTCACCATCACCTGTACATTTAATCAACGAGATAAAGTAAGTAGGTAAGTAGAAATATGAGAATAATGATATAGTTCATGCTGGCAGATGGTATAGCGCTAGATGTCTTTACTGACCGTCTTTATCGAATTTCTTTAAAATGGTCACAAATTGTCTCGACGATATCCCGATGTTGTTTTCTGAAGCCATCGAAGTCGAGAACAATTCAATGTATACCTTTTGTAATAAAAGCTGAAAAAATGACCAACAGAGACGATCAGGTAATATCTTCCCTTCAAAGCTGAAAAAAATGATTTGTGGTGTCTAAGTAAACATCTGGCATACTTTCAACGCTCAAAGGTTCATCCCATTGGTTGAGACATGGACACGTGATATGCACAGTAATAGAAACTGTGGTCTTATTGTAATATTGATTTATAACTCTAAAAAATTGTGAACTTTCTCTCTTTGAGCTTTAATTTATTCAACCTTTTTTGTTATTTTTCATATCATCTGCATTTGTTTACGTGGAAATAATTCGGGGAAATGGTAACTGACAAATTGAGCAGGTCCCTCATTAAAATTTGATAACATGAATTTCAAACAAGCTTTTCTCCAGTCGGTATGATATTTTTAGTTATCTCACAGAAGTGGCTTTACTTGAAAAGCTCAAGTAGCAGGATAGCATAGTGTAGTTTGTAAAAACAAGCCGATGTATCCTCCCTTATAGGCATGAAAAAAAATTATAATAACTTGGAATAAAAAATAAGAAAAAAAGAGAAAGACAAAAAAAAAGAAAAAATTCCCTCGGTTAATAAATATTACATGTGGAGCTTACGAATCAGACTGATAATGGACTTTATTGAAGACATCAATAGCATTAAAAGAGACTCCCATTAAAGAAGTTTAATCCATTTGCACGCACTATGCGATAAGTGATATGTCACTCATAGAGAAATAATTTATGCTCCAATCTTGTTCGTTGCTTCTTTTTTTTTTTTTTCGTTGCAGTATATGTACAGTAATTCAGGACACCAAGAAGACCCCTCGAACAAATAGAAAAATATCTTCTTTTCTCCACACGCATTGAAAAATACGTCGAGACTTCATTGTTGTTTCAATTTTCCTCAGTTTTAATGAGAGTTTAGATAAGGACGCCGACATTGTCGAAACAAGCGACCTGGCCGAAAACGCAAGTCCACAACGCGTGGTTCACAAGCAGCTACCGCTTATTGTAGTCGTTTGTTGTTTTTTTGAGTTTGTTTTTTTTTTTGTTTTTTATTCGCTTTTTTGTCCGTTTTTTTTTAAAAGCAGTTATGATCACATGATGACTGAAAAAGCCACGCTACGATTGTTTGAGTCCTTTCGGCGACCATGAATTAAGTTTTCTTTTACGCAAGGGACGGGAATCTGCAACAACACAAGAAAAGAATAAACAAGAAAGGAACGAGAGTCAAAGATGAAGATCATTTACACAGTCTGCAGACAAAAAACTTTAAAATTTCTTCTTTTTTAGATCTAAAACCTTGAAATTCATCCAGTGAAGACATAGTCGTTTAGTCTCGTATGAATAAAATGTACCTCTTAATTTTCAAAGACGCCAAAGATACATATTGACCGTCTACTTCTGTTATCACCCAGGCTTTTAATTCCCTTCATGGTCACACGCGTCATCTTTTAAATACAGTTGAGCAATTACCTCAGAAGAGATACCTGGGACCTTCTGTAATTGGAGGGCTTGACAAGTAACTTCATAAAAGATAAACAAAAAAAGAGAAATTCACGACACGCTTAGAATTACATACTCATTGTATTAATATCAAGTTACTTAATTTATCATACCGATTTTAAGATTTTTGTGGTTTTGATTGATTAGGATCTGTATAAATCAAATTCTTCTGACTCTCTGATCAAGAAAAACATAAAATATAGGAGTGTGGAAATTATAAATTGAATCAAACCAGGATTAATTTGGAATGAAGTTCAAACAAACTTGGCTCTTGTTAAGCTTGTCAAAATGTATTTTATAAAAAACTTGTTCGACAGTATTTAATCAACCTTTATCTTGTTCCGGTCTCGACCCTCACCTAACAAATCATTGCTAGTTTGTACTTTCGCATGCATATAAACAGGTTTTCTTTATCTCATGAAAAACATTGACAAACTTCAAAGCTTGATTTTTTAGTTGTTTTAGGACTGTTTCTTCGCTCTTTATTTTTCCTTAACAGCTCGGTCAAAAAGATTTTCATCATTTCTCTGTATTGCGAGTTAAGCTTAAAACTACATCAGAATATTCTTTGAATAGAAATTCAAATTTGGGACAAAGTGCATTTGTTGGTGTCAATATATATTGAAACGACAATGTTTTTTATTCATATATAGGGAACAAAAACCGGAGAGTGGTGATCACTCTCTTTATGCATAGAAAATCAGTCGCACTTTCCCAGAATTCGAACACATTTAATCAATTGAAGTGAGACTTTCCACAGCGGTAAACTTCTGTTTTTTCAAGATAACTAAATCAATGGCTGCGCCCGCATTTAATTTACATATGTAAAGTTTTACTGAGCAAAGCTGGATTTGATTTCACATCAAGAGCATGGCTTGAGGCAAGACGCTTCACTTCCAGCTGTGTGTCTTCTCCTCTTCTTATCCTCAGAATTTAAGTCTAAAGAAGGAAAGAAACGTTGTAGAAAAAGGTATTGTATTGCTTTTTTAAAATGCTTTATTTACTGCGAAGGAAAATTTGACCAGAGAAGTAACTCAGCTTATTAGTGGTGAACTAGGATGTTTTCAGTATAATCTTTGTAGATAGCGTTCATCGTATTTTTCAGCGGCTGCAAGTTTGGTGAGTGCAAATAGCATTATGAATCGAATAGAATATCACAATTATTTCCTTTTCAGAAACTAAGAAAAAATTCAAATCTTTGTCTTTGTGGTCTAATTTGAGGGTCGCTGTTAGGTGTATGTGTAAACGTTCTTTTTTCTAAGAATTAATTGAAGGCAATATTGTAATGTCACAAAGAAATGTATTAAAAACCCTAAATTTTTCAATTAACTGTCTGCCTGAGAAGAAAATAATAATTTTTTTTTTATTTAGGAGAAAGTCGTTTTGATAATATTTTTTTTGTGCTGCGAGGTTTGATTAAGGCTAAAATCCACAAAGATAATGACAACTCATGTCTCTGAAGTGCCAGGTGATCATAATATTTCGCGTGGTATACTACAAACGCCGTCCTTATCGATTTCAAATACATTACATCTCATTATGTTGTTATATTTTATCTTTCCGGCAAGACACTCAGTTTTTGTAATAAATTTTTTGCGTGTTCCTTGTATTGCGGTAGTTTTTATATTTTCATTTTTCAGCGACATATTGCCATTCTTTCAACATAGATCAAGGAAAAGGGGAACTGCTTATAATTGTCCGATAAAGGGAGTTCTGACCGGGATTATAGTACAAGTTATGTTAGTAGAATCGCAGGGCCGTTGGCGGTATTTAGATAAGCCGTGTAATGGAAACAAGGAAAAAAGTTTTAATTGCAGTATATTTTTTTGATAGGGATAGACAAACAAGCTTCTATCTTTGATTTTTCTGTTTTATATTCCCTTTTAGATCTTCCTGGATACATGTATTTTGCCTTAGATATCTAACAATAATGTCATATTCGCGTTGTGGCTACGAATGCGTGTGTTTTATTTTCGTCTCGAACCTTTTACGTTGGTTTGTAAGAATTCCGTGGCCCACGGGAAATAAATGGATTATTGTTTTATATCTTATATTTGTAAATAAAAGATACAAGCCCTTTTTTTCAATAGAAATTAAGTTCGACAAATCGTTTCAACGTATTCAGAATACTTGATGATAAAACTTCCTCCATGTTGTTTATTTGGCTCACGGACAACCTATTTGGACACTAATCTAATTTGAAGTCGGCAAAGCAAAAACTGTATTGTTATGGAGGTTTAGGTCATTTAAACGTCAACAAATACCAGAACTGAGTAAATTACATCCTCAGTAGTAACGAAGATTTTTATAATAGAAAAACTCTTCCGAGAAATCGGAAATAAATGTATAGATGTTTTTCACGATCTCTGCCACTGGCCTTCAGCGATATATTTTTCATAAGTAATTCCTCTTCTAGCCGAGTTTTTTACTCGTAAGAAAGATTGTTTTTTATAAATAAGTATTGATTAAAAATTGGCTTTTGTCCATTGGTTACCTGAATCCAAACATACAGCCATATAAGATTAATAAACCAAAGAAAGATTTTCTCAGGCTTGAAACTCATTCATAAACCGACAAACGAGCAGATTTCTGTAAAATATCCTGACGTTCAAAAGTAAACAGACAGAACAATTATGCAAGAAAGGCCTTGGTGATCAATGAGGTTTTGATATACATGCCCTCATTAAGCCGGCACTAGTGCGGTACATTTAGCCTACGTTACCGTCAATACATTTTCATGTGATAATACACTCAAACCGAAGCTCAAAAACAAAAACTTTAAAGGCCAGAATTTCGATTGGCCGAACCTTAATTTCTGTAATTTGAGTTTTGCATTTGTAAGAAAGCTTTCTTAAGGACCAAACAGAGCGCAACCGGAGGGCAGTGTTTTGAAAAGCTTCACTGGCGGCTTTGGCGGACAATATAATTTCCAAACGTCTGTTGGTCATTTTAGATTAAGAATTATAGATTATATTGCAAATATAGATCATATAAGAGTGGATGAAGGAAAAAAAAACGCCAGTTGCATGTCAGACCTTCGGTCGATCATACTGCTTTAAAGATTCCGTGGAGCCATAACTTTTTCCAGGTTGGTGGAATATATTGATTTTGTAACTGATTCACCAAATGATTATAGTGAAGCAAATTAGTGTAATACGGAGATGCAGCAACAATTGCGAATCACGAAGCTGCAGACCTAGTTTTACAACTATAAGAAAAACCCAAAGGCTTAACGGGAAATATATATGCGCTCGGTGGATGGCACTTATTTTAAACAATTTTTGCAAGCTAATGAGTTCAGAACTGTATCACACGATATCAATTTGTCAGCGGTTTGCTTTGTAAATTCCGCATATTTTTCTTCCACTTAGGTTTTCCTTCAAGGGCAAATCTGGCTCTAGTTACTCGAACTGTACCTAGAATAACAACGGCGAAGAGTTTTCTGTAGATATTTTATTTTGATGTAAACATATCGAGGATTTCAACAAAGATTGTTATAACCCAAAGGTATATTTCAGAAAAGGTTTGACTAAAAGCAATTACTGGGTAACGGATGTGACGCAGTGAGTAACCCGGTATTGAGCTTAAAGTGCTTGTTTTTATCATTTCGACCATGTCAATTGGAATATTGCTTGCTCAGAAAGGTTTAATAGTAATATCGATCTATTTTACACGTGCTGGGTGGGATAGACATTTTTAAGTCTAGAATACAAACTTTTACTGACCTTCTTTCCTTCTACCTACTCTGGCAGACGACGTTGTTGGGGATCCTGTGCCAATAGCTATAACTGTTATCCTCTCCTTCCTTTGTGAGGCAGAACACAACAAAACAGAAAAAGTTGCATAAAGGTTAGCAGAAATCAAAGTGATTTTATACTTTTTGGTTCATAGGTTGATAATTAGCTTTTAACATCACAATCTCTACGAAAGCTCAATTAGTTCTCCTCGAACGTTAACAAAAGGGTGTCTGATATCTCAATGATTTTCATGAGTCCCCAAAACTGCTCTGATGTAGCGGATGATAATTTTTAAATAGTTTAATATTTGTCCGACTCCGAGTTATCTCATTATATAACACGAAATAAGGAGTTATAGCAATGGAAATGTCTAAAAATATATCACAAACGAGTCGACGTTTGGATATGATTTCTTAAGATAAGATAAACATATTGATCTCCTCCCCAACTAAAAGCACCCTATGCCAATCGCCCTGGATAAGTTCCCTCTTGCAAAGAGACAATAAAAATAGGGAGAGACTCCCATATGTCAAGCAATTGCAAAATCCCAGTGTTTTTCGTGTATTTTATTTAAGAATGACGTCACATTAACAGAAGTAAACTCTTAAGCATCATTAGAAAAAAGACTGCGGACGAAATGTCAGTAATACGTACCAGTGATTGGGATGCAAACATCAAATTCGTACAATCGATGTATTTTGCAAACGAAATGATTGATGTCATAGCTGTAAACGATGGTCATCGAGGAAGAGGGGAATATTGACATTTAAAATCTTGACATCGTGGGCAGGAAGAAGCGTGGGTATCTCTTAGAGGTATCATCGATCTGTTCAAAACACCTCAAATTAATTGGTATGACTTGGTTGTTCAAACTTTTGCCGGAAAGCACTATCTCTTTCCAAAAGTAGAGAAAAAAAGACTAATTTTGTATAAACTCAGTGGTCAAAAATGAAAAAAAATAAAGCTCCCGTTCTGAAACGCACACCGTCGCAGCTGTTGGGATTATTAAATTGTAGAAAGACAAATGTTGATACCTCGCAGAATGTTCCTCTAGCTTTGCAAACACATGACATGGAATTGACTTGTTATACGTGGATTGTCTAAGGTTTTCATTTCATAATTACCTATAACAATTTGTTTATTGTGCGGTTGAATTTAGTCAGAATGTTGTAACAAACAGCCAACGTAAGTGATTTGCATAAGAAATTCGCACGTTATCGATTTATATTCCCTTTAATACCCATCTAGCAGCTTACGTTAGATAGCTGTCTAGAACCTGCGACATATGGTCATGTTCGCGCTTTTAAATGAAAGGTCTCCTTTAAAACATCACTCACAATTGACTGTACTCAAAAGTTACGTGGTTTTCTTTTTTTTTTTTTTTCCATTCGTAGTTAAATTTTTATAAGCATCAATCAAATGAAATACATTTAACAGCATCTGCAAACGAGAAGTTTGCAGATGCTGGTTGTTTGTTTGCAGATGCTGGTTATTGGCTGCAAACGAGAAGTTTGCAGATGCAAAGTTACGTGGTTTTCTTTTTTTTTTTTTTTTTTTTCATTCGTAGTTAAATTTTTATAAGCATCAATCAAATGAAATACATTTAACAGCATCTGCAAATGACTGAGACAGTGATTTGGTCATCAACGAAAGATCAATATTACGAAGTAAAAGTACAGATGCGATAGAACCCGACTCCTTCACTTAAGCTAAGCAAATATATCTTTACCCAGAAATTATTTTTTCTCGGCTGCTCTTAAGAAGCTTTAGTACAGCTCGATGGGGTTTAAAGCTGCGGTGTTTAAATCATCGAAAAAATGTTTACTTTTAAGGAAGGTTATTTACGATGATCTGTCGATCCATTTGAAAACTTCACTCTCTTTTATGACTGAAAAACGATTTATCAATCGAATGCACACCTATCATATTTCAGAGGAACTTGATCGCGTTTGGCAGAAGGATTGTATTACCTGATCACGCACAAAAGAAATTTCAATGGCACACATTTGTTATACTTTCGGTGATACAACAGTCTTAGTGATCACTCATCAACGCGCAGGTATACATACGGACGGTGAACTTGATTTCCTCAACAGATCCTGAATAACATCGCGCTTCTCAAATTTGATTCCCGCAACAAAAGCAGTCGCTCTGAAGTCAAAGTGATTGTCTCAGGGAAGCCATTGTGTTGATAGGTTCTTTGTGAGTTTACGTTTTGACATTTCAGTTTGTTTTATGTGATTTACGATCGTTCCAACTAAACTTGTTCGCTTATTTAGTTTTCATTCGTTTTTAAATTCGAGTGTTTTTGGTTTACACCAAGAGGGAACGACCTTTTGTAACATAGTAACATTGAAAAAAAAAAAGAGAAAATCATGAAATAATCCGTAGCAAATTGAAAATTTGCATTTAATTTTCCATGTTCCTTACAACATGTAAATTTAACGGACTTTACTTCACTGACAGTTAAGTGATTTACCAATTCTTGTCCGTGAAGACAACAGCAACACCATCACTGTGACGGTTTCGAAGTAACTTCCTCGAAAAAGTCCATCAAAACGTTGAGAAGAGCTTATCTTTCGTAATTTTCGCAATGGAAAATGTTTCTTTCGGTCGTTTGAATAATATCTCAGAGAAACTCATCTCTTTTCTAAGAAAAATTTATAGTTTAGATATTTTCGTCTAGTTTTCGTATCTTTCGCGAGAGTTGTCACGGTCTTTTAGTTGTTTATATTTATATTCAGTAACTATTCAATTCTGTGTTTTGGCTTTTCACAGACCCGAGAAATAAGAAATGAACGAATCATCACGAGAAGAACGAGCCTCGGATATTTCCCTAGTGGGGTGGTCACTGGCTTTTGGCATAATGTCCGTAATCATCGTCACGGGCAACTCAGTTGCCATTGCGGTGCTTACATGAAAGCGACTACTTAGGAGGCGCACGAGCTATTTTCTTCTTTCACTGGCAGTTGCTGATATGACAGTGGGAATATTTTCAGTTCCAGCTTTCATCTATCAGTTTGTTAGCTTCTGGCAACATCGATCTGTCTCAAAATCCACACTTTTAAACATCGTGAAAGCAATGGACGTCTTTTGCGGCCTGGGTTCCACATTCACGCTGACAATAATCGCCTTGGAAAGAGTGTATGCGATTTGTTTTCCAATCCGTCACCGAACCTCCACAAAAAGGATGTACCACGCCTTGGTTTCTTGCGTTTGGATCCTAGCGACGCTCTTATCAAGCCTGTATTTTTTCCATGAATACGACTTGATCGAACATAAAGTGTTCTTCTGGTTTCTAATTTTGACGTTCTTCTCCTCCATGCTTGTCATGTTGCTAGCATATCTTGCCATCTGGATAAAGGCTCGCGTACAGCAATTGTACTTCAGAGAGGCAAGTGTAGAGTCATCTGGAGCTGGATCCGACAGAAAGAGACTTCCTCACAGCCACGAAAACAGCAGCAGGGACAGAGGTCGCCGAGCCATCGAAAATGACCGAAAATTGGCCATGACTGTGTTTATAGTGACGACAGTTTTTATCCTAACATGGCTTCCATTCCACGTCATTAACCTAATTGTGTTCTTGAGGTGTAAGTCGTTTCCATGCCTCGCGCAGCCTTCATACCAACTGATTAATACCGTGAAATTACTTCATTACACAAATTCTATTTTAAACCCAGTTATTTACTCGCTCAGACTTCAGGATTTTCGCTCAACTTTGAAAAGATTCCTATATCGTAAAGGATGATGCGTTTTTAGGGAATCCGATGGTGTTTTCAAAATACACTTTAGTTGGGTGACAGAGAGATCAAATGGTCATGCTTAATCCCCCAATTTACCGACTATTTGACCTAATCAGTATGCTTCACGGGAGGTCAAAGGGAAAACGAAGATGTGTTCGTGCATCCAAAGGCTCATGAAAGGATTGGATCACAACGCACACATCAAATACATCGTAGGAAGAACATTTTACTCAATTTCATAATCTTAAGACATTACCATGAATCTTAATAAATAATCAATTGCAAACAATTGTTTCATTTTTGACGTAAAGAGTACACTTTCTCCAAGCCCTGGTTTTCTCGATCAAACGTGAGTACAAGGCTCAAGAAATCTCAAGAAATCCTCACACCCGGTAATCTTCACCAAGCGATCATCAATTCTGGTGAGAAGCTCTGAAAGGAATATTAACTTTGCTTACAATGATTACGAAAGCTATATCTAGTGTCCCAAAAAGGCTTCCGAAGACCATAAACAGTTATTTCCATTTGGTTGTTTGTGAATTGCAAGCTTACCACGATGACAAGGTTTGAAAAGCTGACTTTGAGTACCCTAGTCCTTCGTCGGCTCACATTGCTAATTCTGGGTGTACGTTCTTAGACAGCAGTTCTTTCGAGAAAGGTCGTCGGAAAAAAACCAGCGTTTAAGTGCGAGCCACAACCCCAATAGGTATTGTGGGTAGTTTCCTGACCTCGGAATTTCCGGGAAATCTGCGAGAATGTCACTGTGAAGACGAGGCTTCGTTGGTTTGACAAATTTACTTACTCATTTACTTGACTAGTTAAACTTCAATAATTATCGAATAACCAGACTACCTTTCAAGATTGTCGCGTGCACTTTTGTCCTTTTTTCCGACAACCTTTCTATAAAAAGATGTATTCTTAAGTATGATGTAACTGCATTTTGTATACTGTTAGTTACGGCTACACGGTTAAAGCAGAATTATAGCAATTGAAGTGCATAAATAAAGTCATTGAATGAGAAGAGTCGACAGCAATATTTCTTGAGTCCAAGGAGAATCAAAGCGCCCATTATTCTTTATCTATTTTTTTTTTTTTTTTATATCACCCTGAGGAAAGTTGGCGGCTGACATATTCGAAAGAACCAACTGGAAAGAGGGTCTCAATGGGGTTAAACCGTTCGCCGCAAAAAAGCCAAAACATTTAGCTGTTAGGCGAAAAATTCACATCGCCAGAAAATTCGAACCGACATGCTCATTTGTAATGAGACACTTAGAAATATTTCAGCTCTGTTGGCGCTTTTCAATTGAGGAAGACATATGGGAGTTGTTTTCTAAATCTCTTCTGTGAAAAATAAATTGTAGCGATCGGACTTGGGGGTATCTCGTCTTCATCACACATTCCGAAACTTTTGTTATGAGCCTCACTCATCATTGCAGACAAGAAATTCGGCTCGGTTTTCAACAAAAAGAATAGCGTAATTCTATGACATGTTTTTCAGGGTCAAAGCAACTAAAAAGGCTTTGGGAGCAAGACTTATCAGCTCACCGCAATGCAACAATATGAACACTATTTACCTTTAGGTGCTTCGGAATCGGTGAAGAAANGCATCATATATATCTAATACCGCAGTACAAAATATATGAACTTCATATATTTCATAGTATCTCAATATGAACACAATTTACCTTTTGGTGCTTCGGAATCGTTGAAGAAAAGATTCGACTACATCTCTGAAAAATATCTCGTTAAGACAGCAAAATCCTCGTTCGGTTTTCTAAATTCATTTTGCGAGATTTATGAGCCCCTCCCAGAAGAAAATGTTGAAGAAAGAGGTCGAGAGTAGACACAAAACACTTCTCAGAACAGTCGCCAATTTGTGAATTAGCCTCCAGGCCTATAATTCAATGATATGGAGACTGGGTACCATTTTAGGCCTCGACAAATCGCATGTTAGCGGGGTTTTTTTTTAAAGAAAAGGCGCCATTTGTATTCCAAATATATGGGGTTCCTCTAGCGGTCTATTTGCATCACTCTGAACGATGTCTTCCACTCACAATGAAAGTTGTATTATTTCCTTCACTGATTGTCCCGATACAAAGCTGAAATACATTTTAGAGCAACGTGAAAAAGGTAGCGAAGTGTTGTTTTGGCTACAATTAAAATCCGATGCTCTTGCTTCGTTGAAGAAGAAACTCCTCAACGTGCAAACTGGTGTCGGCCGGTTCATCAACATGGTAAATCTTAACATACCAGGTAACGCGTTTAGATTAAATCCAAGCAGTGAGAGGTTGGAATCGAGACTGTATGAGCTTGGAAACTTGGCAGAGGCTAAGAGGAAGCTCTTAACTAAGAAGGGCAGTCCAAAACAGAGGAAAGAATTCCTTGCCTCCTACAAAAAGTTAAGTGTTCTAGCAGGTGAAGTCATAACAGTTGATGAATGGTGAACAAAGATTTTTAATCTTGAAGAAAAGTTGGGTCTTGCGAAGGAAGAAATAAACCACTGGAGGGAAAAATTTCATGATCTAGAGAAGGAAAAGGAAAAGTTATATGAGGAAATGCTGAGGGAGAAAAATCTGAATCTTTCATGCAAAGAGGAAAGTGAGTTAGTGAAGAAGTACATTAGACAGTTGGAAAATGACCAATTTAAAAAGGTGAGGGGCACACCAATTCCAGATATAAAAACATCTCAAGCCAGGAACAGGAAGATCAAAGAAATAAAAACTAGAGCACAGAAAGCTCTACTTTTTTGTTTGGACTAGAGTTGGACCTTTTGAAGTTAAAGGATCCAGAGGGGCTAAAAACATACACTGTAAATCTATCATCTCCCACTGGTATTCCATTGCCCACCTCAATAGATGGCTCGCAATCCACAGATCAGGCATCCAATCAAAAAGAAACACAATATTCCAGACTCAGCAAGGATGACAAAGCCAGAGTTGAGAGTATACTCTACCTCAGTGACAAATTTGGGGTTGGAGATGAATTCATTCATGAGTTGTCAATGACTGTTGAAGGATTACAAAAGTCATATCTCTTTAAGCAATGTAGGAATGCATTGAATGAGAGTTGTTACATCAGGCAAGGCTCCAGGGGCCCAGCACTCCTTTACAAAGCTATTGGTTGATCAAATTCAAAACATGGTAGGTACAAATGTTGTCACTTTTTACTATGCACAACACTGAGATAGCATCCTCAAGTATCACTACCCACACAATACTTTGCAATTATAATTATTACATAACATATCATGCATTCTCCTATGTTGTAGATAAAAAACAGTGTGCTTCAAGAAGGTGAAAAAGTCAAAGTGAAACTTAGTGGTGATGGGGCACGTATGAGCAGAGTCAGTAACTTCATACTTTGCACTCTGTCAATCCTTCAGAGCAAAGAGGACCTGCTTTCATCAAAAGGTAATTACATGAAGTACAAGCACTATAAAAGGAATGATGGTTAACTCAGATTTTTTCTGTAATATCTTGAACAAGGTACACACACTATTGCTGTTGTCAGTGGCCCTGAAAATCATGAAACTTTGGCTGAAAGCTTCAAAGAGGTGTTCAGTGAAGTCAACGAAATTCAAGACTGGGGCTACATAATTTTTGATGGCAAGCAAGTTGAGATTGAACTGTTTCTTGGTCGTGATTACAAGGTAACAGGGCACAAAACAAAATTCAAGTTAGACTCACTGTCAAACAAATAAACTTTGTTGTATTGTTATAGATTTCAAAGAAAAGTGGCCATATACACACTTTAAGAATACAAGGAAGCACCATATAGTACTTGATTACGTCTTTATCGTAAATATCAGTACATGGATAACATTGATCCTTTCTACATAGTTCCTTTTCCTGGTTATGGGCATAAGTGCAGCAAAATTTTAGCCGTTAGTCGTACAAAAAGATAAGCGTAAGATCTTTTTGTTTTAATCACAAAGGGAGAAAGCTATCCGTTAGCTGTAAAATGGCCAACATTTTAACCATTAGCCGTAAAAGCCATCACCCCATTGGGATATTTGATGAAGTTGTAGATGTCGAATAAAATAAATGACAATCGTTGATAGAAACAAAACTGACTTAAGATGATGTTTGCTGTTAACAAAGTCATCCCATACAATTTAAGCCAAAAAGGTTTGGACGTAGATCGCGAGAATTTTATACTTCCGTTCGTAATGGAAAGTTGTTTATATCTCTATTTATTCGATTACTGTGATTCGCTCAAACGACGCTTTCGACGTTTGTGATCCTGGTGGTATGCGTGATGCTTGCAATAAAGAAGCCAAGGGACCTTCATCCTTCATATGGGGACCGGTTCATTATCGAGGTCTTAGTTTGTAACGCACCAGAAGAGTTAAAGCATCAGACCGCGAAATAGGATGGGCCGTCGCTCCATTCCTCCGTTGATTTCTTTGTGAAAAAATTCTGCACATCTATTTTAAATTAATTCGTGGTTAATAAAGAGGTTGCTTCACCTCCACATTTCTTTTTCAAGAGGCAATTTATAGATAATTAAATGATTACCCAAAATAACATCTCATCTGAGGTTGAATGGGTTTACCTCAAGTTTGTTATTCTAATAAGAAGGGAATCTACAATTCAAATATGAAACATGTTACCCATGCAAAGATTCAAGCAAAGTACGATAGTGTTTAAGAGGAGATGGCCTCATCATTTTCAGTAAAAGCATAAAAATTCTGATTTTTTTTCCTCGATTTCGCCATCTTCATTTAATGGTTAAGGGGCTTTCTGTTCCTAATTGATTGGTCAAAACAATTGCGCTCAGACAATGTAAAAAGCAAACAAAAGCCCAACCTGTTAATTCGTGGTCGATAAAGAGGTTGCTTCACCTCTATAATTTTATTCTAAGAGGTAATTTATAAATGATTAAATAGTTACCCAAAATAACATGTCATCTAAGGTTGAATGGATTTACCTCAAGTTTGTATATATAAAAAATTTTGTCCATGCCAAGATACAAGCAAAGTACGATTGTGTTTAATAAGAGATCGCCTCATCCATTTTCAATAAAATATTCTAATTTTGTTTTCATTGATTTTGCCATCTTCATTTAATTGTTAAGGGGATTGCTGTTCCTAATTGGTGGGTCAAAACAACTGCGCTCAGACAATGCAAAAAGCAAACAAAGCCCAACCTGTTCAACGAGGAAGTTTACAGGTTGAAATTTATGTACAGCCTTCGATCTTTGTACCCTTAATTAACTTTCGAGTCATTCAATTCAATAATTCATCTCAAGATCTTGAGACACAAGGACTGAACTGAGGTAAGAACTATGAGTATTAAACTGTTTATGTCCCCTGTGACAAATTTCAGCCCTATGTTTATAATGTTCTTCCTTGCGAACAAGGTTGCTTGATCGAAGACGACTATCATATGCACGAAGGGCAATAACATTTCGGCGTTGAACAAGATCGAAATTAAAAGTGAGGGAAAAGCTTTACTGTGTATAGGAAAAAAAATCAAGACGTTTTGCAACCACAGTCGTTACGAACAGAGAATTCTGCTGTACCAGGTTTTCTTTACATAGAAAATGACAATACATACGCTATAATTTCTACATTTACAGCATCATTTATTAAAGAAAGGCAACGATTCTTGTTAAAAATAATCTTACGTAGGAATAAATTCCATTTCCTGTCAGGATATCGTATCTTGAGAAAACTGATGGAGCTAAAGATGATTTTAGTGGTCATGATGCTACTAGCAATCACTTGCACTGTACAGTCAGCAGGTAAGAACATTTTTTTCTCACGGAGAAATGTTAGCCACGATCAGAACAAGCGTATAATACCCAGTGGGTTAAAAGGAATTGTTTTTTTTTTCTCCCTGATGCGTTGCCGAAACAATTAACGCTAAGAAAAGGTTTCGCTCTATCCCTTGCCTAAAGGCCGATAAAAGTTGCAAATAGTATAAGGTTTTCGGAATTGTCTGCATAGTGACCAAACTGAGAAAGTGCATTTATAACTATAAACGTTATTTTGAAAGAAACAATGAATTTCCTGATTCCATTTTTTTTTTATATATCAGCACTAAAAACAAGTTTTCACCTTCAGGAAACTGTCAAAATAGGTCTATGAGCGACTCAAAATTTCTGGCAGAATTTATAAAAGTGACTTCTTTCCTTCCTTTACGTATAGAGGTTTGATTTTCACCATGTGTGTTCTTTACTTCTTTACTAGGGAATTGCGATATTTTAAAACACCAGGACAGCCGCTTTGAAAGCTTTTGTTATATTCATCCAGGATTTTTGGGAGCAGTCAAGAATATAAACCTCTATGCTCAGCAATGCAGGGTTAAGGTTTGTTTCTCGGTGTTATTTTAGAAAAAGAAGCTCTCCCTTACACGTTCTCGGTACGGAAAAGCGAAATCAAATTTAATTCTGGTGTTTCATTTGTCGTTTACCAGGTGGTAATTACAAGTTCCTTCAGGAAAGACAATGGAAAGAAACTAGTAGGCGCCGTGTATAAACCTGCAAAACGCAGCAACCATTTCGTGGGTCACGCTATCGACATGAATTTGACAGACGGGAATCATTTCTGCAATTCGAGTTGTCTGCGCGACGAGAAGAACCACCCCAAAGGAGTCAAGTGCTTTATCCAAAAGATCAAGCAAGATGCAAGCCTTCGCTGGGGGGGTGTCTTCTGGAAACCAGATCCAGTTCATATCGATGATAAACTCAACTACAAAAATGAGGCAGAGTACAATCGACTTTTCCAGTCGCTTCAAACTAACTGTAAACATCTTCCAGTGAGGGGCTGAGCAGTATAAAGCATGACGGGATGAGATAAAGTCTGACTCGAATTTAAACAGTAGTGTAAATGTTTGTCACCCCGAACAAAAACCTTTGCGTCCTGCCCATAACCTGAGCATCCATGATGAACTCGATTCATCACTCGCATGCCACGTCAAACATCGAGAGGGCGAGCACTGAGAGAAAAACAGCAGACCAAATGAAGTCCATACAGCGGCTTGCTTAGTGCAAGAATGTTAGATTTCCGATTTTAACAAAAACCAAACACAAATATGAAAGAAGAAAGTCTTAGATGTTTCCAATTTACTATTACATGTATTCAAACTGTTACATAAATCCGGGTGCATATGGCTCAAAAATAACTTATTCTACAAGGGACGAAATCAGAAAGTTCACCAAATTTACTGAGTGGAAACATTGAGATTTTTGTTAGATTTCTGAGTCTTTTATGTTTGTATGAGGGAATATAGGCGTAACAACAACTCCTTGACTTAATTTTTGACTTCGCTGAATTCAAAAATTTCCTTCCACCGCAATTATGCCAAAAAGGTCTCCTGATGATTATCACGCAACTGAAGTCCTTCGCTGCCTTACGCTACGGCAATGAAAACGTTGTACTCACACAATTCCCTGTTATGAAATGCCCTGTCGATCCTGAAGGGCTTTCGTCGAGAACATCAAGTCTCTTTCGATGATCTAGTTGTCTTCTAGTTTTACTTGTGTCGAAGGTTCGAGGAGGTTTACTCCAAGGCATAGGCTGGGTCACGTGAACGGACAAAGGCCCTCTATTGCTTTTCACAACCATGCTACCCTCTGTGTTGGAACTTTTCACAGCTGTGATATTCAATAAAGCCACAGTTAATGTGAACATAATTTAGCGTTGCCAAGGTTTAGAACTAGATTTGTCATCAACTTTGCCGCAAATGTATTAAACAGAAGCAGAAAAAAACCTCTTTACGGTCCGGCTAGGGTCACTTATGCATGACCACCGTGCGTAATAGAGGCAAAGTCTGGTTAGTATTCGTGTCTCTATTAACTCAATGAGATTACCTTGTGCCACACGAAATCATAAGTTAAAATACTTATGACTTTTAAGGCACATACGAACGTCAGCTTTCCATGGATTACTTGAAATATCCTTGAGTAAATTCCCCAGGGAAGAACATACCTTACTTATAGAAAAAGGAGTTTCTGCTAAATCAATATAAAAATGCATCTTGATACCAAACTGATTTGAAATGTTTCGCCATAGGAAACAACAGTGCGTGTGTACACTGGCTGATCTAAAACTCACATACCTGCAGTCAGGGACCTCGGTTTTCTTTTTCCACTAGTCCCTTCGCTTGTCTGTGAACGAGTGAAAGTTGCATGAAAAATGCAACGAGTATTTCGAAAAACAATGAGTCTTTCACGAAAATAAAAGCTACATTAACTTCCGTTTACTTAAATTGTCATTTCTTTTCTGTTTCGGTAAGGCTGCTCCCTCCCTGAGACATTTGAGATAAAGAAATTAGACCAGGTTATATCCTGGCGAAGTGAGCAGTGCCGATGTCGAATCTGAATGCTCAATGAGAATATCCTGAGTGAGATACTTTCCACCTCTTCGATTAGGGCCCATGTACGCGAGGGATGATGGTAAGTTAACTGCAAACGAAGGGGTTTCCGCTAACCAAAGATCTCCTTATACTGTGAGACTTCAGTCAAAATTGGCGTTTTTTGAGTGCAAAATAAAAGTGGTAAAGAACACATTAGTATACCAAACCAGTATTCTCTTCGACGATGTGCTGGGTTTGAGAGCACAAATGCGATCTGTTTTTTAATTCGTTACCGAACCTCCACAAAAAGGTTGTAGCACGCCTTGGTTTCTTGCGTTTGGATCCTAGCGACGCTCTTGGCAAGCCTGTATTTTTCCATGAGTACGACTTGATCGAACATAAAGTGTTCTTCTGGTTTCTAATTTTGACGTTCTTCCCCTCCATGCTCGTCACGTTGTTAGCATATCTTGCCATCTGGTTAAAGGCTTGCGTTTAGTAATTGTACTTCAGAGAGGCAAGTGTAAAATCATCTGGGGCTGAATCCGACAGAAAGAGACTTCCTTACATCAACGAAAACAGCAGCAAAGACAGAGGTAATGCATGGATTTGCATCAAATTGTATACTCAGCAACTTCCATTTAACAGGTGTAAATGAAAATAAGCTGGTGACCAATACATTAAAACGGTTATTAATGTTAAAGGCTGGGAATGATCTCCCGGTCCCCCTTTCCCCTTTCTCTGAGATGTGAGTAAACTATTCGTGTAAGCCCTTTTTTAATAGTCTACTAATTGATTTAAATAAGAAACAAGAAAAAAAAAAGGAAACCCTGAGGGACAACCTTTTGGGAGTAGGTCGAGCTAAAACCATGAGGAAGGAAATTGTAGCGTACTTGGGTTTAGGTTTAGGTTTAATTTATTCGAATGGCAGGAGAAAGTAACAGAGCTTTCGTTCCAGTTGACACCTAACCCCTTTATTACCCACCCATTGTCGTCTACCAGGTGGTAATTACAAGTTCCTTCAGGAAAGACAATGGAAAGAAACTAGTAGGCGCCGTGTATAAACCTGCAAAACGCAGTAACCATTTCGTGGGTCACGCTATCGACATGAATTTGAGAGACGGGAATCGTTTCTGCAATTCGCGTTGTCTGCTCAACGAGAAGAACCACCCCAAAGGAGTCAAGTGCTTTATCCAAAAGATCAAGCAAGATGCAAGCCTTCGCTGGGGGGGTGTCTTCCGCAAACCAGATCCAGTTCATATCGATGATAAACTCAACTACAAAAATAAGGCAGAGTACGATCGACTTTTTCAGTCGCTTCAAACCAATTGTAATCATCTTCCAGTGAGCGGCTGAGTTGTACAAATTAAAGCATGACTGAATGAAATAAAACATGGCTGGACTTTTAACAGTGG